TTGCTTCATTTTGCTCCCCCAAAGGTTTGGATAGTAGTTTTTTTTTTTTTTATCTCATCTAAGGAGGGCATTATTCTAGTCTGTCACGGTAAAGCAGGAACTTCGCCTTTAGCTCTTTATTTACTGCTCTGGCTACAAGCCACCATTCACCTGTGGCCATCACACACGGATAACAGCTGAAAAGAAAACCAAGATGCCTTGTGAAAGTCTCAGAAAAGTGCTTCCTCTGTTAGATGATTAGGTTTTGCCTTGGACCAAAGAGTCCCATCATGCGGAAAGAGCTTGAAATACAGCTGAAAGGATTCACTTCAAGCTAACTAGGATTTCTTCTTGACGGGTGCTGGTCATTTCATCACCGCTTTGCCGTTTTAGACCCAAAGAAGCTTTTTGTCAGGGAATCTTTTGTAAAATTCAAACCTACCATGGGGATGTTTCACACCCGCTTTTGCGACCATTGATTGATTTATTATACAAGGACTACAAAAACAAAGCAGCGTGCAAAATTTTCCAAAAATATAAATTGCAAACATCCAGGTCGCGCGTGTCGGAGGACATCTAACAAAGGCGCTCATACTTCACCCGAAGCCGAGCAGTTGGCTTTGGGTCGCGTCATGGTTGTGCGACGCCAGAATTTGCACGCACCTTTTACATACAGACCACTTGGGAACACCCCGCCACTTCTCACAAGAATTACCAAAACAGAAAGAAAAAGGCAGGTGGGTAGGGGTACAACATGTATTACAAGGAGGCAAGATGGTAATGGGGCAAACTGACAAGTGGCCATGCTGGATATCTGCCCTTTTGAGGTCATCTAGGCACATCCCGCTGGGAGCAGCATGTCCTGTGAGGAAATACATTTTCCTTCCCCTCTAAGAATGATGTAGAAAGGCGGATGTCTTGGTTTCCTATTTGGAAATGTTACCTTCAAGTCCCAAATCCCCTCTTGCCAAAAGGCTGCCTCACTAAAAGCCTTTCAGGGAATTGCTGCCATATTCACAAATTGTCCCTCTCTCTAATGTCTTTGACATTTTACTATGTCAACAAGTCCAAAGCAAATATGCTATTCACACATCCCTGAAGTCCAGACATCTTTCGTACATTTCGGGGCTTGCATATGCATGAAAAAACAATCTGTCAAAAAATAAATAAGTTTAAAATCTACATTGAACACAACATTGCAATCATTTGTGTCCTTCCATCCCAAAAAAGACAGGACGATAACACAAATCTGCTTCGCTCCGCATTAGGCTTTAGCCTCTGCCGTGTGACTGACTCGGCAGCTTTGAGCCTGGAGGAAACCTCCCACCGATGGAGCTCAATCAGTCTCCATCTCCCAGATCAATAGCCATTAGCCTCGGAGAGCGTCCATCTTCTCATCTGTGTTCATAGACCTCATCCTGGATGAATGGGACCTGAGTCATAAACATGGGCTCCGGATCAGATTTCTGCTTCTTTTTCCTCGTACTTGTCCGTTTCCCCTTGTTTTATTGTGCAAACACACAGCATGCTCATTCATATGTTACAGAGCAAGTATTTGAATGGCTTACAATGGCTTAAAGGCTGTCAAGTAGCCAAAGGCCAGCGGGAGCTCTTCATCTTAATGCATTGAGTAGAAATATTCAATGCTATCAGCACAAATATGAACAAAGATTTTTAAACAATAATTTTAACACTAAGACACCTAAAAACACACACACAGACAACACACTAAAAAGACAAAATATAAAAACATTTCTGTATTGAAGAGTGGTGGATTTTCTACCGTTAGCTTCCAGTGAAACACACACAGGACTTTTGCTTTGGTTTCATTTTGTCGTAGAACAAAGAAACCCAAAACAATGCGACTAGAACAAAGGAGGAGAAAAACACGAAAGAGATATTGGCAAAAAATAAATAAAGGGCATAAAAAATTATTAAACAGACAACAGGCAAGATGGTAAAGAAAGCAGACAGTTGAGTAAAGATGGTAAATGATGAAGAACGGGGTGGGGAAAAGATGTGTACGGACTTTGATATGGGGGCGGAGGGGCTCCTGTGGGAAGAACCTCAAACTTTGCAAGTCATGACAAGACTTTTCAAATACATGAAGAGGAAGTTCACAAGCAAAACACAAAGAGTCTCCCCCTCCCCTTCACTCTTGCTATTAAAAAAAGAAGCATCGGTCTTAGCCACACACTGTCTTCAAAACTGGAAGCATTGATCAGAACAAGACAGTCAATCAGCAGCATTAGCTTTAAAGGCTAATCTAATCAGTTTGTTGTCATTTTTATTCCAGAACTGGACAGTTTTTCTTTAGAATCGTCAACAGATTAGTGGAAAACTGCAATCAGCTCTGCTGCAAAATATAGATTATCGGTTATCTAATTTGGACTGGTTTATTCTAGAGTGATTACGTGATATGCACCACTTGATTCGCCAAATCACAGACGTTTTCCATTGACTGGCATTATGAAATTATGTCGGTTTCTTAAGTTACTTCTCATTAAATGTTTCAGAACTCCCAGCATTTTCTATGGATAGGCACATCAACAACATATGTAGTTCTACGCATTTAATTTTGAGTTTGCAAAAATTCAAACCCCGTTAAATTCAAACCTTCCACCTCTATCCAAGAACATGCAACACGCTTGGAATGTTTTCCCACCGTTTTACATTGGCCCACATGTTTCTAGGTCTCAAAAACTATATTAGAACAACATGCCGGTCAGGGTTTGTGGTGTCGCAAGATTTCAAATAGAGATCTCATTAGCAATGATTGACAAAATGCACCAGCAAAGAAAAACTCTTGTCACAGCTCACATCAGCAGCCGCAGATTTGTTCCCGAGACCTCTTTTATTTGTTTCTGCTGCAGCGGTTGCGCCACAGCCATAAACGCATAAAAAGGTGAAATCGGTAACGCGTCTCAACTTACTAAATTAAAGGTAATAAATGCTCTAAGTGAGATAAGGAGGCGTTTATTGCACTCTGCAAAGAACTTTGTTGCAATTTTGAGAAAAGAATAGCAGAGTTATTGTTTTGTTCACAAAAAACCAAAACAAAAACAAAGTGTTTTTGCAAGATTGCTTCTTACGTCGCTTTTTAAGCGGAAACCAAAAGATCACCTCAATGCGGCTACTGAACTTCCCTTTGCGGCTCGATATCTCGCTAGACCCAAAACCACAGGCGAGTCAACGCGCTGCATCCTCCTGCTTATTAACAAAAAGTCTGTTTGTATACACAGGTATGTCTAAAATAATGTTTTTGAATACTTTCAAAAAGTTTTGTATTTCTTGTCACTCCTTGCTGGGAGTGAATCTCGTGCTGTATAGATACATCAAAAGTGGAGTGAAATATCAAGCATACATTTCTTGTAATGGTCTTTATATATATTTCTAATAAAATTTTGATGTTTACACTGAAAAGGTGCAAGCTGGATTAGATGGTTTGGTTGAGCAATGCCTGTTCCTAATGATAAAAATAGCTGAAATATTACAGGTCAATTCAATGCCATTTTGCCAACTACATTCTGAAACTTTCAAGGCAATATTACTTGTGTTTTTGTTTTTTTGAGAGGGGGTTTCTTAATTAATTTTGAGTGACAACTTTCTAGCCATTCTAGTGTGTGTATTCCTAATTCTTGACCATTAACTTCTCTCTACATCTCAAAATAAAAAAAAAACAGGAAACTGCTGCCCTGTCAGTTCAACACATTTGTTTTGCTATGCAGTTCTGGGCAAACCCACCGACCCAATGCGTGCTTAAACGCACGGAAGTATCAAAACAAATACCCAGCTCACACATTTTTCTCTACGGTGGGTTAAAATAGAACATAACCTTGTGTTTAAGTGACCGCTTGCATCTCCACAAGGAGCTCTGGAATTCACAGTTTATGAGCCATTGTTGCTCTGACTATAGGCCCATATCTTCAGTCCACACTCACAAATTAGCCTGCTGAAATAACATGCTAGCATTTTGCTATATAGTCTTGTGAAAAGAAGTATATATGACGCCACGTTACATTACACGTTTGAATGCGGACATGGACAATGGCTGGCACTGGGGAGAAAATGGTAACGTTTAGCCATGGTGGCTATGTGGAGGGAGTGGGGGTGAGGCTAGCTCTGGCTGTTCAGTGCACACCCAGGTTATATGTGCCACGCCATGTATTGTTTACATGGATTGTCATCGCGGCTGTGCTCGCTGTGACAGCATGGGAAACGACGCACAGCAGCGCCAACAGAACACGTTATTCTGAACAAACGCGCATTATCTGTGCCGTCGCTTAATCTGCAGAGGAACTGGGAAGACATGAATCAGACTGGTGACTGGTCCACCCACAGTCGGGCTAGCTCAGCTTAACGGAGCTAGCATCCACTAGCCAGCAAATGAGGACCCACCAAATCTGAGCCAGGAGTCATTAGCTTCTGGGCTAGCACACGGAGCTCAGACTTGTAGATTAAACAACCGGCCCGTTGTCAAACACCGGGTTCACGCAGAAAATATTAAATGCTCCGTTTGTTGCCGAAAATAAATCACTCTTCCTGAGCTATAGGCTGACTCAAAGTCGCTTTGACACATACAGGTCTGGTGGCTAAAGCAGAACACTCCAGTTTTCCCTGCAATTTAACTCCAGCTGTTTTTCCACGACTCTTATTTGGCTACGTAACTGCTGGGCTACGTGAGTTTAATAACCATATAAAGACAAAAGAGCCACAGGGTCGAACCTCCAAACACTAGAACCAGACAAAACAGCAAAATCCAGGAGCTGTCCGAGAATGGAACTCGGGAGAAATAGCAGTCCAGCTAATGCCGAGCTTTTATGTTGTAGTAGCAGAAATCGATCAGATGGGGACAAACACACAACAGCATTAGCCTTGGCTATTTACGATGCGTTTCACTGAAGCATATGAGGGGAATGTACAGACTGTTTTCATTGTGAGCCAATAAGAAGACCTCCCGGGTGGGAAACAATGTCCATCTAGTAGCTGGACCAAAGGAAGCTTGGTCTCCGATTCCTTACCGGTCTTAAAGAACGCCTCTATGTCGCCGGCGTCCTTCGTGGTTTCCTCCGCTCCTTCCCCGGAGCTCATGGCTGCCTCGACCAGATCCCCCGAGCTCACTCCCTCCTAAGTGGACGATACCTCCAAAAAACGAGAAAAAGATCGAGAACGGTCTCTCCCGTCCTGGGAAAAAAGCGTCATGGAAGAGCCACACGGATGGCTGCGGGGACTGGTGAGCGCTAGCCGTGCCATCTGCAAACCTCCATCTTGGGGTAACGTAATTGGAAACGACCAGACAGGGGGCACCGGGTTCCTCCGCGGAGTGGATCCGAGGGGAGAGTCTGAGGAGCGGCGGGAGGGGCCGGCTCGCTCGGCTCGGTGAATCTCCGTCAGATTTCGGAAGTGAGCGGACGTCGGGTCATCAAGGAACGACAGGAGTGCAACTCAGAGGCCGAACACGGATCGTTACAAGTTACGCCAAAAGCAACGCTGTGACAAAAACAGCGCCTCGTGTTATATTTGTGAACAATAAAAGCATGTAAGTCACTGAATTCACAATTTTATTTTGATTCATGAGCTAAATGTTGTCGGAGCAGAAACAACTCGGGAGTCAACCGGTTGTTTTAAGGGAATGCTAAAGCTTCAGTCGCTAATTCTTCAAGAAAGTAAAACTGCAGTGAGGAAAGTCTCCCGGAAACAACAATACCAGAAAAGTTCAGCCGCTTTGGTGAAGATCCTGTCACTGCAGGCTTCATTAGAGAGCTGACCGCTTGTGGCTGCTGCCGTCTGCTGGATGAGTCCGGAATCGACGCATTACAGCTGGTCCATCATGTATGAAATAAAAAACTTGATTGTGTCCATGCAATCAAGTTCATGTGTAACTTCACATACTGTCAAGTCACATCCACAAACTTCAGTGTATCTCATTAGAATCCTATCAACAACACGCACACACACAAAAAAAAATGTCGACGTCTTCATAAAGAGATAACATGCGAGGTTTTGTTTTGAGCAGAGGGATGGTGGGACATAATTTTCAAAAACTGACTTAGTTGGGGTTTTTTGTTCTTTTTTTGTCTCATGTTTGTCTATCAATTCCTTCATCTGAGCCTAATAATTATGACAATGACACACGAAGTTGAATCAAACATTAAGACATCATTAATGTAGAAGTGGTTTGAATTTATTCTTTAAATAAACAATAATAAATAAACAACAGCTACACTTTCTGTTTTCCACATATGCTGTGTTTCCTGTGTTGTCCACCAGGGGGGAGTGTTATACCAATGCTCAGTTAGCATCTCCAGGATTGCTTACCCTCATTTCACTGAAATAGATCAATATAAATATCTTATAATAATGATAATTATAATAATTAATAGGAAGGAGAAAGGTAATCATTAAATTACTTAGTTTTGTACAAAATGCATTAGACATATTAACACAGACAGAATTGAATGCAAATATATGTAGCCTATGTACATTTGACACATCAAAATTTTACATGGTTGTGTGGGTTTAATTCTATTTGATTGGTACAATTCAAACTACCAGTCCTCATGCATTTCTTGTGTTGTCAAAGCCGACCCAATGAGCAATCTGAGGCGTTGCTTTGACCAGGAGAAGGGCCTGCAGGACTTCTTACAGACAATATTGATGTCAAAACTTCAAATTTGTTAGTATGCGTACAAATAACTCCCAAAATTTGCTCTGAAATTTTTGCTAATGTCAAATTTAAAATCCTTTATATTTAAAATCAATGTTTATTGAATATTTAGAAGAATTGACAGCAGAGGGGGTGGGAACCTTCATGTTCTCTAGTTGCCGCTTTTTAAGTTTTAACCACAACCGAATCTCAACAAATAACTGAAAAAGTCTATTTGTTGTTAAATACAAACCTTCCCGGTGCAGGACGTGAGACAAAGCTGGACGATGGATATAGTCACCAACCAAATTCAATTTATTTTTCTATTCATGTTCTAAATAATGTGGGATGACTAATATGGGGAGCAAGCTAGATTTCACATAACATGTTAATTCTGAATATAGAAACAGTTTAGCTCCATTTTCGTAATATCTGTGAAAGTCTGTTTCAGAGATACACGAGCTCGTGGTTGGACACTGTTGCCGTGCCGCAAATACAAATCCTGACCTGGGATTGTTTTATTTACTCTTTTTTTTTCACAAAAAGAAATGAACCTCATTTTGCATTTTGAAACCCAGAAAATGAGTCTTTTCTGACATCATCACAGTGAATACAGATGCTGGGTCTCATGCTGTTGTAGGGGCTTGGAACATCCAGCACAGCTGTGTGAAATTTCACTGCTGACATGAGTGAAACTCCTCATTCCGTTTGTTTTATTTTGTTTTTAAATGAGCAGTGGAAAAATTTCAGGAGAAACGCAGTGACAGCAGTGGCTTGTTTTTATTAACTCAGCCCCGCTGAATGGCCGACCCCAAGTCCTCGGATTGTTTCATTCCCACCCTCTCCGTCTTCCACCCTCCCCGTCCCCGATAAATAGCAATATATCCCTCCGAAATGTCAGCAGTAATTACTCCTGTGCTCCGAGACAACCTCTAAAATGAAAGAAAGCTGGTGACGATCATGTGCCCTTATCCGTGCTTTGTCCACATATCCCCCCTGACTGTCCTCACTGGTGCTGGAAAGAACCACCGGCGGTCCAAATCTCCGCTCTCCAGAGCCGCATGCGGTCTGTTTAGTGTGTGTGTGTGTGTGTTGCAGTCAGGCACAGCTCTCAGCAGAGTGGCGTCCTTGCATTAGCGACCCCCCGCTAACGCTGTCATAGTTACAAGGAGGAGGAAGAGACAACTAGCAGCAGGTGGTATTGGCTCGCAGACTGTGGAAGGTGGCCGGGGTCTGACAAATTAAAACTAATACGTCAATCGGAATGCTGCTCCAATTAGTTTGTCACTGATGCAATATATATATATAATTATTTGACAAATAAAAAAACAAAAATTTAAAGTTTGCACCTTTTCAGAACTATTATTTTACAACAACCAAACTCAGTGGTGGAAAATATGCACTGGGGCGCCAAGACATTGGGGTAAAAATGATTTATAGTCAGCATTTTTTGTATTTAGCAGCTGTTTGCTGCGGTGTAAATGACGTGATCAGTAACAGAGGTACATCGATGGTGTCTTCCCAATACGAATTTGAATCAATGTGAGTTATGATGATGTTTCTCCTTGGGATCGATACAGTACTTCTGAATCTGAATTTAAATTGAAAACGCCTCAGAAGGTTACAAAGTTGCGCCCCTGATCAGACTGGATGTATTTTATTGGGATTTTATGAGACAGAGCAATGCAAAGTCGTGCATCAGCATAGAGATCAGGTAGGAAGTTGAACACACGTTAATAGATCTTTTAAAACAAGTGCTGAGCGTTTCACAGAAAACTGATCAGTTGACCACCTGACAATGTGAAGAGTGGAGCAGAACTGCAAATCAACCACATCATTGCCAGTGCCACCACAAAGAAAACCACAACAGGTTCTGATTGCAAGGTGTCGCAAGGCATATGGTGGACGCAGCAGACAGTGGAGACATAATGCTAGGGTTGCTTATCTTCAGCAGGGATAATAAAGTTTATCAGAGATTTTTGGAAAATAGATCTAAATACAGGGTAATTCTGGAAGAACAGCTGAAATCTCAGGCCTTGAGGTTATGCCAGCATGGTAACTACTTGAAACACACAGCCAGAGCTATAGCAGAGCGGATTAGATCAATGATCATTCATATATTGGCATAGTCTGTTGATGTTCCAGCAATAAATTGAACAAGGACTCTGTGGCTATAAATAAAAATTGCTATGACAGTTTGTCTCAGCTCGAGCCAGTTTGCAAAGAAGAAGACTTGGTGTAATTTTGGAAAAATTTGGAGCAGATGTTGGTGCTGACGGTTCCCACCCATGACTGTCCTACACTAAAATCCCATCTTCTCAAGTTTGCATATTCTCTGTGTTCTCTCCGGGTACTCCAGCACGGCCCACAAACACGCATGCTAGATTAGATGGCAACTGCCGTGATGGACTGACACCCTGTCCAGGGTGTGCCCCGCCTCTTGCTTAATGGATCCTGGAGGTAGGAACCGTCTCCCCTCCAACCCAGCGCAGATTAAACTGGTGAAGATGGATGGATGTGTCATACCTTCCATTTCACAATTTTGCCAGTCCGTCTGACCTTTACATTCAATTTGTTCAGATTAACTGGTACCACACCATTTACTTTATCCATTGCCAATGGACTGGATGGTTATTTATATGAATATCTAAAAAAAAACAAAAAAAAAACATCAACATATTTTGAATCATTGCCAGGAAACTTTGAAATGTCATCCATAATTGAGCCACATATGCCATGTCCTTGAGGCATATTGTGTCCAAGCCTTCTAATACTATTTGCTGTCACAGTTACAAAACAAATTAAGTGACAGAGGTCAGAAGGCCCTCCAAGGAACAAATGCCACTGCAGGCGGAGAATAACAGCGGTGAGACAACGTGTCGTCCTTCGATGTTCAGGAGAGCCAGTTAAATTAGACAGAACATCTGTATTTATACTGAGCTCGAGTCACATACAGAAATTTGTCAATTGCTTTCCCCGGGTGTTACTAAATCCAATTCCTAAAAGGTTACACGGCAGAGTATGGCTCAGAAACTCAAATTTCCAAGCCAAACAACGAGCCTCTGAAAGCATCACATCCGACCTCCGCTCGGTATCCCAGCAACCACAAAACACTAGCTGACAGTTCCCTTCTCCGGGGAGGTCGGCTCGTTTGTTTGCTCGTGTGGAAGATGGACGCTTCACCCAAGACTCAAACCAGAGCGTTGGTTAGACCCGCAATCTTCAATTTAATCTGTCCGCAACGGAAGGAGCCCAAAGAACTGTGTTACTTCAACACCAAGTCGAAGGTAACGCTAATGAAGCTAAGGAAGCGGAATTCAACTGACGTATGGAGCAGATGTTGGTGCTTCTTTGTTCCTGAATGTCAGCGCCCCGATTCTCTTTGTTGTGCAAATCACAATGAGTTCGCAGGCCCTGCGAGAAAGATGTCACTGTTGGACGGGAAATGTCGAAAGCCAAAGGCACAATAAACACATAATAAAAAAGTTTAAAAAATTAAATAAAATAGAAAAGCGTTAGCCACGGCGCGCGCGGGGGGCGGAGTAAAAGCGCGCATACGTCAGTCCGATGTGAGGTTCCTCTGGAATCGCGCGCAGGGTAAAAATCTCACCACGTGGGGTCCTCTTGACCCCTTCGAGGTTAAATAGTGCATTTTATGACATTTACGTTAAATAGTACATTTTATGACATTTACGTTAAATAGTACATTTTATGGCATGGTTAAATATTAAATTTTTATAACTTAAACTACATTAAATTTGAACCAACTATTCTAATATATTGATTTCTAAAGTTTTTTTAATACATCTCCAGGTTTTATAGTAGTGTTTCATATTTTGTCTTTTACGATTCCTCATTCCAAAACCTACACATTTTCAGGATGCTTTCAGTGGTTGCTTATGAATCAACTATTGAATATCCTATTATGAATGGTTTTGGCAGAGAAGCTCCCTCAAAACCTTATAGATTAACGGATTATAATTTAGGATATGATGACAGATTGACAAACAAACATAGCATTTTAGCTCCTAAGAACTATGACAGGTTTCCAGGTTTTGTCATCCAGACGCACTCTCACACTTTGGTGTTGAGCAAGCTCTGCACTGGTGGCAACATGATTCTGTAGAGCAGAAGATGGAAAACTGCTCTTTCATATGCAGGTCTCTTAGCTACACATTACGAACACATATTGTCAAAGACACAGTCATGCTGTTAGCATCTTCTCCATTTTCAGGTCCCTGAAGTGCCCTTGTTTGACCGAATGTACCGCAGCATTGGGGAGTTCGACATGAGGGAGCGATTCCACACCCAGAAGAAGTTGATAAGGAAAGGACTCGAGATAAACGAGGAGGTAAGAGCTGCGTATGAGCAACTCTGTCATTTCACCTATTTCAATTCTTTTTAGGGCTGAGTTAAAGGTTAATAAACTCAGATAATAAAACAAAACAAAAAAATGCAGGTATACACAAATAACCACTGAGAGCACTTCTGTTGTGGAACTGTACCTGGGAAATATTGTCTTAACCCCTTAATATGCAGTGGAACGCCTACATGTCTATTTTCCAGGAGTGAAGGTTAAGGGTTAAATGGAAAAGGCCATATTAGTGACCTGTAAACATGCTAGCTTTTTGTAATGAAAAAAATCAGATTGTAAAAATCTTCTTTCAAGTTCTGCTACATTGAGTATGACAGTTACACTCCTTAAACTAATACTTTGTCTAACCACTTTTTGATTTAGTTTCATCTTTTGTTCAGTTTTCTTTGTTTCCGTCAATATTTTTCCACTCTGTGTGAGCAAACGTTTTCCTAATCTGTCAGATTGTAAGAACAATTTTTCTCTCGTCAAAGCTCCTCGGGTGAGCTCGCAGATTTTCTGTCAGATTTAGTTCTGGGCTTTGACTGAGCCATTCTAAAACTTCAACATTCACGTTGATAACTTTAAACCCTGTAATCATGGAAAATAAAATCTATCCGTCTCCAGCTTTCAAGCAGATAGATAGCAGAAGGTATTAGGCAACAACCACAAAAAAGAACTAACCATGATATAGCCACCACTGTGTTTCACTATGAGTATTGCATTCTTTTGGTAGGTTTCCACATTGTGCTTGTTTCGTATTTACCTTTTGAAGTTGTTTTTGAACATTCAGTTCAGGTTCTTTTAGACCACAACAATTTTCAGAAGGTTTCAGACCCTGATCTGATCACCAGCCGTGCTCTGCAGTCCAGACATAAACTGAAATTACGAGGTTATTGTGGTGTCGGTAGTTTGATGGTTTGGAACATGCAAGTGGCGACACGTCACCAATTATGTTAGCAGCAAAAAAAAAAACAAAACAAAAAAAACTGAGAAGTTTTTTTTAACTGATTCTTCTTCCCAGACATCGAAAGAAGAACAGCAAAAACAAAAACCTGTAAGTTTTGTTTTGTCCGTTGACAGGTTTCCCAGGAGTCTCTGTACCTGCAGGTTCATTAAAACATGAGTTAGCGCAACGCAAAGAAACCCGAGCTGAATCTCAGACATGGCTGGCCGCAGCTGAGCTTGTCAAATGTCAAAGGTCACGAGAGTACAGTAAGAACAAAGATGAGCAAATTGTTGTCGAAGAAGGGAAGAATCCCAGGAGAGAGGCTCTCTTATCTTAGAGAGTTTTAGTTCCACTTTAATTTGAAAAACCTGCACGACCCAAGTTGCAACCTTTTAGTAAAGAGTACAGCAAAGTATTCCAAAGGCAAAAGTGAAGTTGTCTGTGTTTTACGTCTGTGAGGGACTCGAATGGACAGAAAAGACTCAAAACAGATTTTTCCATTTTACCTTTTATTAAACTTCAGCTCCTCAAGCATGTTGCTGTTGATTTAGTATTTGTAGTGCCCTGGCACTGACATGCGAGCCTTGTGACATTTGTTTAATGTTACCTTTCTGAAGCCTTTTCAGTTCCTTGGAGTAATTATTCATGTCAAGGAAAAGTAGCTCACAGTGAGTTTCTGGGTCGCTGAAAGCAGAAAGAGCGATGAACAAAGCGGAGGCAAACACACTCTGCTGAGCTTGTAATTACCCCGAGTTGAGTGGTTGGCTGTCAGGGTTGCTGACAGTTCCTGCTGAATTAGGACATTGCTTTTCCAAGGATTACATTTGAATATGAATGTAAAATAAACTATTCTCTTGTGTGCTCAGAGACTGGATTATTTCTTGTTGGCCCCATATTTTTTGCTGAAAGCCATTAAACCGAGACGAGTAGCTCACAGAGCCAGGAGTAGGCGCTGTTGCTTCCCGCTGAGCCGATAGAGATTTTATATCTGTAGTAGAGTTGGGGAGCCACTAAATGAGAAGGTCATGTTTTTTGGGGTTTTTTTGCTCTAATATCGGTTTCCTGCCCGCGTGTTCTTCTGGACGTTCATTTCAGCGACAATGTTTTTGTTACAACACTTTCTTTGTCCTTCACACCTCTACATTGCTATTCTTGTAAACAAAGTCACTTTTGTGTAGGAAATGCAAAGAGAAATGTAAAAAAAAAGAAGAAAAACTGTACCGAATCTCAAATTGAAAATCTTAGTAGGCGAACAGAGCATCTCTCTTATGAACATTGTTTTTGAAACATTTATCTTAATAAGGTATTTCTAAACTGATCTAGTTGACCGTCGTCAGAAAATGACCCAAAAAACAGTTACTTGTTTAAACTTACAAAGATCTAAAATCATATCGATATTAAAATGTGGTTAGTGTTTGTCCTTATCTACTTAGCAGCGGTGCTCCCCAGGGATGTGTTCTCACCCCACTTCTCTTCTCCCTGTACACAAAGGATTGCGCCTCAGCTGACTTGTTTGTAGAACTCCTGAAGTTTGTAGATGACAGCACTGTCATCGGTCTGACCCAGGACAGCAATGAGTTTGCGTACAGATGGTGTGAAGTCAAAGTTAAACTACTTGACTGTGCTCACAGACTCGACCAATAACACCCAATTTTTAGTCTCTTGTGATGTTGTGTGTTGTCTGAAAATGGCCCCTTGTTGGGTCTTTGAATAGGAGAATGTGTCAAAGCATTTGGCCAGATCTCCACAGAAGAGGTTCGCAACCAGACAGAAAATCAACCTTTCTTTTTTGGCCATCCCATTTCCCCCGTCGGCCTAAATTCTTTTAGCCGGGGTGTAGCCGAAGAGCAGAACAAATACAAGAACAACCCAGAACACTGGCTGAACTAAAGAAAATATTCAAAGAGCCCCTTTCTGTCTGCACCAATCTTGCAAGAGGTTGCATGAAGACATTTAGCTGCAACTATTTCTAAAAATTCACCTCATATTTACGAATAACGAATCTATCCACAAACGTTTGAAAGCACCACGGCGTGTCCAGTTCTAAAGCATCACTGTCTCTGCTCTACCAGGAGAGGTCCAGACCTGTGGCTCTGCTGTCGTCCTCGGAATATGGCCGTCGTTTCTATTCAACCATCAACCGAACAGCGAAGCGGCATCCACGCGTGGCTTTGATAGAATCCGATTTTTACAGGAAAAGCGGAATCATCTGGAGCATGGCAGAAGGATATGGGTCAGTGGTTCCACTCTGAAAGCTCTGTCCCACCCTGACAGACAAGGTTCCTTCTGTCTTCACAAAATAAATGTGTTTTTCACCAGTTTGTTTTTGTATGATAGGGCAGTTTCTACCACTGACGAATAATCCACAAGGCGGAATAATCATAAGTGAAATTTGACTCGATTTTCTTGTCTTCGATGTCGACAACAAACAAATCTAACACTTATGTCTGAAAACAGAATCTATTTCACCATCAAAAATTAAAACCTAGATTTCTTTTTTTTTCAGAAATAGATTCTTCAGAAAAACATATTTTGGTAACAGGTTCACTCAAGTAACTTGTCACTTGTTACATGACACCTAAAAATACATTAGGTGTCATGTTTATATTTCAGACATCTTGTATTTTTTGACTACTTATTGCTTTTTTTCCCCCACCATCACCTTTTTCAAACACCTGTTTTCTGTTTTATTAACTCTGTTTCATTTACTCAGCGGGCTCCTCGTTTCCTTTTGTGCACAAACTGTGAACTGACACAACCAGAAATGTCTCTGTATATCAAATAACTTTAGTCAGGTTTTCTTTTTTTTATCGCCAGTCGGCCTACTGATATTTGTGTTGTGGTTGAAATATACCTTTTGTTCTCGGCAGCCAGGCAGGGAGCTATTTCAGGCTTGTTTGGTGTTAGAACCACAGTGTTTGTTAATGAGGATTAGGAGCTAACACACAAGGTGATATTTTCTGCTTTCAAATAAGAAGGGGAAAAAAACTGGATGAGTAAATGAACAGTGCTGTAACACGGGGTAGTAGCTTGTAACTAAAGCCTTTAGAAATAATTGGTTTCACACCTCAGGGAGCCGTGGAGTAAAATCTGGCCTGTTGCTCCGTGGAACTTTTCTGTAAGATTATCAGCGTAGTTCTCTCTGCATGGATTTATGAATATTAATACCAACATACTTAAAAATATCTCCTACATTTTCCTTGTTAACATTTTCAAGGAGCAGTGAGTTGCTTTTGTGAAACAAGAGACAAGATGAATTGCTTCTATAGGTTATTTCTATAGAATGTTGTATTTAGATGTGTCCTTTCTGATACAGCCTAATAAAATAGTTAATCATGGCCTCGGATATTATTTTATTACTTGCATTTTCTTTTAAGTGGAAAAAATATTCCAACTGAATATATGACTCAAAAGCACAGCTATGATCTGGAACAATTCTCTTTTTAGTTTTTTTTTTTTAAAACAAGAAAAAACCTAGATTTTAGCATATATATGGTTTATTGATCTGCCAAATAAAAATATTTGCAGGTTTAGGCACTTAAAACGTATTATTTGGTTTAGGGAAGTAATGCTAACTTAACTAACCGTGAAAGTCTGAAACAATCTGACTGTTGTGGGGCAAAGAAGGAATTTTCATAAAATGAAGAACGTTACAGACAACCCCAAGAACAAAGCAGTCAGAGGCTTCCTCAGAACCGCTGCGACACGGACTGTTACAGGAGGTTCTTTCGGCCCACAGCCATCGGGATCCACAGTAACGCTTAATCCAATAACGTAAATGGTAAGTTCATAATTTTCCAATATTTGACTATTATATACATTTATAAAAGTGTAACAATATTAAGACAATTCATATTGGCCAATTTGTTTTACATAAGGCACAGTTTGTTAGCCTAATAGTATAGTTGCCTAAGTTATGTTATTATGCTGATGAAATTAAAACATCCATTCATTACAAAAAACATTCAATATCTTTGGGGCCACCCAATAACATGGAGCCCTGGGCTACTGCCCGTGTCAGTTTACTTCCTAATGATTTATATAGATCATTCATAACAGAGTTTATAGAAATGGAAGTAACTAGTAATTGTTTGTCCTGACATTTTGATAAATGTCTGAAAATACTTACTCAAAGTCAGTCCCAAGTCCCAACTATTTTTTAGCTCGGTGTGCATGTTTTTACTGAATGATGGTTCCAACGTGGGCTTTTTAGCTTTCGGAGAATTAAAACGACATGCACTGAGAAGTTATATACAAATGTTTTAATGGATAACAAAAAAAAAATATGGCAGTGAACATTCATACACACGCTGTTGGCATGGCTCCAGCTTTAATTACATAAAAAACAGAAACGTTCCCCCTTGATACATGAGTCAGACTCCACTTGTTGGCATGTGGGACACATATGCAGCTATAAAGCCTAGAAATACAATCACAGGTTTTATCTTTTTTTTTTTTTTTGGCAAACTACCCATCAAGCTGTCAATTTATTGACACGAACACCCCCTATATGACGAGAATTATTGTAACATCCATTTGGAAATGAAATGAACCAAAAATCAGCTCTCAGTGCCAATCAGGCAGGCAGAAAGTTGATTAAAAAAAAAAAAAAAAACAAACGAAAAAAACCCCAAATCAACTCGACAGGTGGCTCAATTTGCTCAAGTATAAGGCCGTGAAGCACTGCGACACCGGCATGGGTAATTAGCTCCACACCACTACTATTTTACAGACAGGTGACTGGGGGTCCTTGAGAGCTGCACTAATTTAGCCACCCTCTCTTTAGTCAGGCTCTCCTTTAGGCTGTGAAGAGACTCCTCAGAGTGACGTCCTCGTAACACTGGAGAGGTGCAAACCCACTCAGAGTGCAGCGTTGAAGGACCGCGCCGGCCCACCTTGGCCTCTTGACAGATGCCGGTCCAGTGCGCCGCTGGCTCTTGGTAATGGGTTCTACTTACAGAGCATGACAAATCACTTCTGTGCCGCTTTGTGCGATTGTTGTTTTCAGGCGTATGTCGGCGGTCGAGGCGTGCTCAGGGCATCACGGTCCCCTGCGACAGAGATCGGGTCATCTCTGTGTGGACGAAGTAGGTCTTCAGCTCCCCTTTGCCCTTCACGTTGATGATGCCGCGACACGAACACATGTAGCCCAGGTTGGATAAGACGCCACTGGTCTCTTCTGTCACCTGAATGAAGCCAGAGCATCCATGCATCCTTATGAAGTCTTAAATTTAGGTGATCTAAAATTAAGGCCTTAAAATGTCTTAAAAAGAAACACGTTGGCCATAAATATGCTCATCTTAGATCTTGAAACTACAATTTAATCTTGTGTGTAGCTTTTTTTCCTCGCATGATTTTTCTGTCAGGCAGAAATTTGAGTTTCACTCAGACGTTTTGTGACTCGAGGCAGTTGAGGTATTAGCTGTAGCTGCTAACATACCTTTGCTAGCTGGCTAGCTTTTTTGTTTCTAAAGCGGGTGAATTTGTTGACGCATGGAGAGCAACGAGCGATACTGAGAGACACTCAACGCACATAAATCGGGTCTTAAGTTTTATTCACGGTGGCATTAAAAAGGTCTTAAAATACATAGGAAAACCTGCAGACAGCCCGTGAAGAGAGCCACCAGTTCTCTCCAAAAGAATGGGCCAAACACAGTCAGAACCTTGCAGGATACTGACGTTTTACCCAAGTCCTACGTTCTAAAAGGCAATTCTACCAAATACTAAGGAAACGTATGAACACTTCTGAAACTGAAGAGAGGGAAAAAAATTCTCTAATTATTCTGACATGTAGAAAATAGTGTTTATTTTGTAATCCTAACTAACTTAGATCAGTAAAAATTGAGTCAAATTTACTATCAGTGAGAAAAACCTCTCTGATTTTAGCTGTACATTGACAGACATGAATGCATCATACAGAAGTCTTACCTGGATTTTACCCAGAACCCCCGTGGTTTCCATCCTGCTGGCCACATTAACGCTATTCCCCCAGATGTCATATTGAGGCTTCTGAGCCCCAATGACTCCCGCTATCACCGGTCCATGGTTAATACCTGGCAAAACAGCAGCATAACCAAAAGCGATAAACAACGGGGTAATCTTCACAAATATTCAACAAAACGGATTCTAAATAAAATAGATGGAAACAAACATGCACAGTTTTAAGGCTGTGGGGACGATTCAAACCTATTCGCAGCTTGAAGTCATTGAAAGAGTGTTTGTTGATGACGTCCAGCTTCCCAACCAGTGCAAAGGCAAACTCCACCATGGTGCCTATGTGCATGTACTGTCTGTCGTGTTCCTAAGGAAAATGCAGAGTGAACAGAAACGTGTGTTAAGATGAACAGCAAGAAGACCTCTGTTTCAACGACAAGACCACGAGGAACTCAAACTGGAGTCACAATCTGCGGTTCCATTGCAAATGTGCTCAATAGATTGTCAATATTCAGCTAACACAATTTTGCAATTGCGGTGTTACCATTAAATAAGAAACGTGATTAAAATCACACGTGAATAAGTTTGTTTGTGCGATAAGTCATTATCGCGACAACTACTTCCTGTCTTCTTCGCAGTTTTAGCCAGTGGCAGCATCCGTTGTTGGTCACGTGACTCATTTGATGCTCAGAAAGAATTTCCACTGCGTGAACCAGCTTATTCCTGTGTTATTTCAATTTTATTTCTTATGTCATGGAAACGCAGTAGTTGTGAGACGATGTTTTATTTTTCAACATCGGCAGAATACAATTGTCTGGACACAAAGCCGCAGTCATCCAAGTTTACTTCCAAGATATCTGCTCAGAAAATCAGTGACCAAAACGGAAATGAGGAGAGCCGTTTCTTTTGGTCAAATCCGTCAAATAAACAGCACTTTTTAAAAGTGATGGAAAGTATGAGAAATGAAACCACGGGAAATTCCGTCAAACCATTTACTGCCTTTTAATGTGACATTTATCCTCTGCAGCTCAACTGAAATCAAAACAGATCTGTCTCAAGCGCCTGTTATGTCACTTCCTGTCCTACTTCCTGTTCTTCTTCGTGGTTCATTCACTCTGCCAGGCTGGCAGTAATTAAACCCGAGTCTCAGCAGGGTTGAACCAATCGCTGAATTGACAGAGATTAATTTTTGTTTTTGGTTCAATCTGTTTGATGAGAAGCTGAAAAAAAAGAAAGGAGCTGGAACAAGCTGCTTGCATTACTGTGCATTACAGAAAGTAGTCTTCTTAAGTTTGCACCTGCCACCTGTTACAGGGAATCTGATGAACCACAAATAGAGATCAGCTGTGCTTGTGAGGTTCGCATGAAATTTGCTCGTTTGAATCATTCGGGTTAAGCCAGAGTTTTGCGGAGAGGTCGCAAAGGATTTTGTGAACCAAATGCGTACAGCAAGTCCTCAAGATGAAACGCAACTGCTCTGAAAATGTTCCTCCTTAAATACATAAATATAAACCAGTTAACAGCGATTAGAGATGATTTTTCTCTCAATTTCTCTCACCTGGTCTTTTTTTTATAAATGCTCAACATGTAAACTGAAGAAGCAACTTGTGGCAACATGAAGAAGGACATAAAGTTTGCACCTGCTAAAAGGACTTTGACAAAATTGTTCAGATGGAATTCAATAACTAGCTTTAAAATCATTTTGGTAATGATTTTAAAGCCATTTCTAAGTTTTGGAGCCTACAGCAAATCAGAGAGCCAGTAGCAGCTTAGCTTGTGCACCTGGACAATGATCTGAAGTACAAATGATTTTATCTTTAGAATATTTAAAGAAAACCTCTTGACTGATGCAGCAACAGTATCTGAATAGGAGGCGGGGCTTAGCGAACACCCAATTAATCCAGATATTCAGCAATCAGGCAGATCTCCTGATGCGGCGCTGATGTCTGAACAAGACCCCCATTTGTTCACATGCATTCAGATGTGCGGCAATGAATGAATGATGGACGGGTAATACTGCTGCAGATTTTCATGGAGCGACCCACACGGGGCTTTCAGCTGCGCTTGGATCGCCGTCGACGCTGCAGTGCTTTTCACTGCCCCATTTTTCGTGGCCTCAGGCAGCCGAAGATAATTAGGAGGGAAAGTCCAGGGACTTGTCAAATGTACATACAGAGACTAAAAGATGCCCTCTGTTGACGCCCTGCATGAAGCCGCTGTATTCTCAGAATAGAGCATCCAAAAGGCTTCATAACCAATCGACTTCTTGGCATTTTGCCGCATCACCAAGACACCCTTTAGTGCTTTCAATTGGGGATGGTTTGTAATAAATCCAGGACAAAGTAGAGTGTGTCAATCCATTCGAGCCACTTTTAGTGCAACATCTTACTGTAAAAGGCTTTCAAGCGTGGGTACTGGCCTACAAAATTACCCTCAGGTCATATGTTTTTCACATTTACCATCATCCACTTGAATTTTTCAAGATGGCCATCTTTTCTTTTTTTCCTTTCTCTTTTAACCAGTTATCGCCATAAAATGTTCCCCATTTTGGTCATCCTATTCATACTATTTTAAATCAATATGTCATTTTGTATCAGTATCAGACGGACAAACTGAGTGGTTTGATTGGGACAGAATGTCCTTGTAGCTACAAGCTACTTGTCTTAGGATTTGCTGATCTTACTGTTGACGTGGAGAAAAGCTTACTTGTGTGGACTCTGGTCCTGGAGCCACATTGAGCCCAGTTGCAGCCATGTAGGTGCTGCCAATGGTCTTTATCTTCTCCACGCCGCTGAACTTGGGCTTCGACAGCAGCTGTGAACGCAGAGGGAACCGAGCACAAAGTATGAAACAGGAGCAGCATCCAAACGACCGCCCGGCTTTGTGCTCCTTCCACTCAGGAACATCATGACACTTCCCCCGGAGAGGGTCAAAAATCTTTGTTTCGTCTTTTTCCACACTTTCAGACAGTCAGGATTATTAGTCGGAGCGGACTTTACCTCATCAAAGTCGGCTATGATCTCGTTGAGAAGTCGGAGGCACTCCAGTCCTTCCTTATTGACATCAGACTCAGTGTAAAACTCTTTGAAGTCCGGGATGGAGGCGAACATCACACACACTGACTCGTACGACTGATGATAAAGGTCCTGATAACAAGCGAAGAAGAAGAAGAAGAAGATAACAGCTTAGAGGGGCCGTATCGAACAGGCACTCGCGGCAGAAAGATGAAGAGAAATGGCCTGTGGTTTCATTGGGCTTTACTAAAAATAAAATGGAAAATAGCATGACCTGAATGCCTCATGCTGAACACTGACACTTAGACTTTAAATAAATAAGAAGACGCTTTAATCATCTCTGCAGGGATGCCGGGTCCCTGTGGCAGCCGGAAAATAGGGGCATTCATCTTTAGAAAGGAGGAGGTAAGAACAGAGCAGCTCAGGTGACGCTCAGAGCGAACCTTTTTTTTTTTTTTTTTTAGAAATGTTTCAGAGCAGGAAGTAAAGCAAGTTATACAGCGTGAAGAGATCATGCAAAGTTTAACAGCTAAGAAAAACGACATAAATAACAGCATGCGAATGTGGACTAATTTATTGGCACCTATAATTAATAATGTATGATTTTTTTATTGTTTATCACAGTAAATAATAACTTGACTACATTTATTCATTGTGGATGAAAGTCCCACACTGATAAGTAGTTTTCAGCAAAACAATTATTTTTGCCTGTAGAAAGAATTTCTGATAAATAAACTCTAGCGTTGCTAACATTTCAACTTTATTTCTTTCTACTTGGTCATTTGCCATCTTGCCTTCCTTTGTGTTCATCACATGACACAAAGACCCATCTCTTTCAGCCAGTGGCCTGAAAGCTGGACCTATTTTCATCTGCCCAGCACACAAACAGAAACCTCAGAGGCTCACTGCAGAGAGGGGCATCTTGGGGGCCAGCACGACTCCATGACAGCCATTACATGTAAACATGTGGTATTTGGCTTAGCGCTACCAGAACCTTAACTGGATCTGTAATCAGATTACGGTAGATGTCCCAATCAGCGCGATATCAAAGTTGGACCGATTTCCAGTATCGATATCAGAGGGATTTCTGATATTGACATGCAGACATGATTAATAATAATTGGCTCAGTCGTTCTCATACCTACTGCTGCTGACTATTGTTCTCTGTTTGGTTTAAATTGCTCGAACAAAAGTCCACAAAATTAGTAATAAAAATGTGTCTGATATGTGCCGATAGCGTGCCGATATTGGCTAATGCTCATATCTGCAATTTTGGTATCGTGTCAGGAGGGAAAAAGTTGTGTCGGGAAATCCAGATACAAAAAGGGGCGAAAAACGCTGTTGTTCATAGTCTGAACAGCAGAGGGAACAATATACTCATATTGATATGGGTGTGTGGATAAAATAATTCCTTCTAAGGCTTTGGACACACCTTCACCAGTGGTGCCACCCAGAACACAGAGTGTGTTCAGTGTTTACTGGTCAGAGACGGTGGAAACCCGGAGTGCTGTTTGGCTTTTCTTAGAGAATAATCCTCAAATTTTCAATGCATGGCCTCCCCTCTCCATGAAAGTGCCTGCCACCGTCGTAACTGGGTCACCGAGGAAGACGAGTGAGGCAGAGCTGAAGCCTGAAGTGAAAAGTGCAGGTGCATTACAGCACCTTTTACCTCACTGAGGCACGACTCAGTCAAAATATCTCAGGATCGTCAGCCAACGAATCATTGTATTATGCAGGGAGAGAAATATTGCTTATTTTTCTTTGACTGTTGTATTTTTTTTTTGAGCTTTGTAAAATCAGAAACTGTAAAAGATAAAGCCCAGTTTTCATGGATTCAGACTAAGAATTTTGTGACTGCTACCAGCAAAGAGAGGAAATATCCTGTTTAAAAGTGTCTGCCACTGGTTCATCCCTGGAGTTTTTCATGTTTTCATGATTCAAGTGTCAGAATCAAGTAGCTCAAGGAACAAAGAGAAGATTCTCTAAGAAACTATCAGAAAGGGTTGAAAGTATACTAAAATCATCCAAACAGAAACACAAAAAAAGAGTTTCAGAAAGTCCAAAAGAAATCCTGATCATGGCTACAATAAAGAATTTAAGGTCCGAAATAAAATAGAAAGGAATGATGACTGAAGACTTCTGCACGGTAACATCGCACAATGACATCCAAGTCGGAACATTTTCTGATATGATCTGCACTTTCATCAATGCCTCTAAATGTTTGCAAAATCTAGAAACATTTTGATATGTTTTGTTCACCTCATTCTTCCAGTTGCGTCCCAGGAAGTGCTCGGCCACGTGCGCCGGCAGGACGTTCTCCAGCAGAACCCGGTTCAGGTTCTCCATGGTTTCAATTTCCTCACACTCCCTCTTGAACTTGTCCCGCCACAGGAAGTCCAGCCGACAGTAATACTCGTTCTGTTGGAGGAGGACGAAGAGAAAGAGGAAGACTCTCTGTAAGCCTCGACATAAAGACTTTTAGAAGGATTTTGTACTGTTACCTCCGTCAGTACAAAATATCTGCTGATATCCACGGTCACTTTATCAAGTTAAATCAACATTTACACAATACCATTAATAAATAAAGATTGCACTGAAACCCCCCAAAAGCATTTTTGTTCTAGTTTCTAATGCAAACATCTAAGTGCACTTGAAATTAGACAAAACTAACTTTTCAGCTCGTTTTAAGTCAATAATTTCTTAATTTTGATTTAAAAAAAAAACTAATAAATGATTTGACTTAAAACAAGACATTTTTCCCAAGTTAGAAGTAAAATAATCTGCCAGTGAAACTGATACTTTTCATTTGTGTTAAGGAAATATTGACCTGCTGAAAAGTTTCTTGTAGGCTAATTCGACCAAAAATACTTGGTAAGATTATTTTTTCTTTTTCTTTTTGCAGTGAAACTGACCTGATTGGTCCCTGAAATGAAGGCCTTGTGCAAAAAAAACCCAAAAACCTTCAGCTTATTGCTTCTCAGCAGCAGGCGGCTTAATTTCTCTCCTAATGCGTCTCGACTGCGAGGAGGTCGTATTCGCAATGCTTGGTATTCATGGGAAAAAAATTAGAGTGCCAATAACAAGGCAGCGAGACAATGCAAGAAGCAGCGCGGCTGTTGCTCAAGGAAAAAGCAGACAGAGCTGCTTTGCATAAAACATAGCTGCTGCCTCCTTCTCTCTTCCTGCACTTTTGGTTATTCAAGCTTGAGGAGGTTTTGAACACATCTGCATATGTTAGCAGGACTCGTCTACGAAGGTCAAGACATCCCGCGGTTGCGTGTTCGCGCCTCCGTTTCCGGAGCGCAACGTCTCTGCATCCGAAGGCCACAAGGTCCTGGTGGGCGGTCTCCTGTACTGACTGTCCAGGGAGATGTAGTTGATTAGCAGGCCGAATGATGGAGAAATGCACTGAGTTATTTATTTTACTCCTTGACGTCAGCGTCAGCCGTGGAAAATTTGGAAGATTCCACCGCCGACGGACGGAGGGATCTGCTACGTTTTGGGGTTTGGGAGTTTCTTAGCACAAATTAACATCCGGCATCATTCGGGTTGTGAACGTAGACGAGGAGAGTCTACCTCGAGTCCGGAAAGTAGGCCAGCTCATTCCAAATGCTGTTTAGAAAGCAGCTAAACGAGGCTCTAAATGAGTTTTGCTCCACTGTGCAATCTGTTCTTGGGGGATGAATCACTGATGCTGTTTTCCTTGTAACCTGATTTCTCCTCCCCTCTGAAGAAAGTTCTGAGAAAAGACCTCATTAAAGCTGATAAGAAATTTGGCGAGGAAAATTTGTTAACGGACTGCTTGAAGCGTGTACAATCGTTTTGAGCGGATCAACCGCTCGGGGCAAAGAGGTCTTCCAATAATCATTTTAGCGTGAGATAATGGAAGAATTTTATAATCGAAACAAATTAAAAAAAAAAAAAAAAAAAGCATTTTAAGAACGGAATCAGCTTCGAACAAGGAGATTTAAACAAGCAAGTCGGGTCAACAAAACCTTTGTTTCTCTGCCGAGGGTGACCCAGAACAAGAGCAACGCAAGAAGCCGACGGGGCCGACTGCATGTCTCTGGGGAGCTCCGGATGTGGGTACAGAAGTCCCAGCTCGGAACATCTGCTTTGAGATGATAGATGTTACCCCTAAAAAAAGATTCAACTCCCCACAGAAAATCTGCGTCAGCAGAGTTACAGTGTCACATGACGCGAGGATGGTGGCAGCGCACCAACACCACAAAAGGCAAAACGTCTGAAGACGAATTTTTATACACCAAAAGCTTCTGGACTGTAAAAATATCCTCCTCTAAAGCAGTCAAAGTACCTCCCCCCCCCCCACCCAGGTCTCCATCTCTGATGAGAGGAAGCTGAAGATGATCTTTGAATGCTGAATGACCTAATTACACAGTTATGACTGCAGCAGAGAAATCAAGTTTTATTATCGGTGTGTCTCCACGGGGGGCGAGCTACGCACCTGCCTGGCTAATACCAGCAGAGTGATGAAGAAGATGAACAGAGACACGGAGCCCATCGTCTTCAGGTCCTTCAGGACGCCCGGTCTAGAAAAACATGTTTGAAAACCCTCGTCATTATAACGTTCACTTAGAAACTGTTCTGGTTCAATTGCAGGTGGTAAAGACGTACAATTCCAGTATAAAGTCAAAAATGTGTCCATTTGCCAACAGAAAATCACTTTTTCCTCATGGAACATTTCACCATATGGAGGTTGTGCTTGACTTTTTTCATTGTGACCGATGGCACCTAAAAAGTTACGTCAGTCTACGTTTACCTGTCAGTTTTCAAAAGTAATAACGATAACGGCAAACTCAGTCACATTTCATTTCGTTTAATTAGCCGAATGCGAATTAAATGCAACAAGCTGAGCAGAGAATCCTCAATGTGCTGTTATCCATGAAGCTCATGAATACATGCAACCTTTTCTCTGCAGTGACAAAAACCACTGGCTGTGGCCACAATAGCTACATAACACACGGAGAATGGAAATTGAACAATTGCGTCTGAATTTAAGGTTCGGTTCAGGAACAGCCTGGCAGTCGTTAGGATTAGGGAAAATGTCTGGGTTATGTGTGAATTTAGCGACTAACATGAATGGAAGGCAATGCAACAAGTCCTAATGTGAGCGATTGTGTTTGTTTGCAGAAAGAAAAGAAAAACTTACAGATAAACGTTCTTATACAGCACGATATATAAATAGTATTTCGTCCAACTGCAGATATTTGTGACCCAGAAGGTTCTCTGCAGTCGTAGTTATTTCAGTTTTGAGTTGCTGATGAAATAGTCAGCATTGCAGGAGCCTCTTTTCTTTATTTATTGTTAAAGGCAATCTGCCAATCACGTCCAGTTCTTAACTTCCTTGGACATCTGTGGACAAATGGCATAAGACACCTGTTTACAAGAACTCCTTCAGAATGTGGTCTGTTCAGTCTGATTGCAATCACATCCTAATCAGCATGATTTCATCATTATTATCTCCTTAAACCATCAAAAACCTTTCAGTTGATGCTAAAACGTTGCTTTTAGACATGCAGCAAAGCCTTTGTTTCTGGACATTTTGACAAAGTAATCCAAATATCGCACCTTTGTCTTGTCTGGAAAAAAAACAAAAGTTTCAGCAAATGTAAGACGTGAGATGCTGATTTCGCTGTTAATTGCGTTTCATTGTTTTGTTTAGGTTTCAAAACTTCAGCACATATGTCCAACTTTTCATTTTTAATGAATGACCGTGAGCCGTGGGATTTATCTGATGTCTAAACTGCAGGTTATTAATGGTGGATGCAGGGCCGGATATAGAAGGTTAAGAGTCCATTGGACCGCAGCCAGTTTTGCTGCTAGGAATACCACTGTGTCATTGATGCTGTGGGCATAAAAAGGGAGAAACTAATGGTGTGGGCACCATCCTCCTCTGACCTCTGACCCTATTGAGAACCTCTGGAGTTTCCTCAAGCAGAAGATCTGAGTCTGGGATGCAGTTCATATCAAAGCAGCAGCTCTGGAAAGGTTTTCTGACATCCTCCAAAGAAATTCAAGCTGAAAGTTTCCACAAACTCACAAGTTCAATGGATGCAAGAATTGTGCAGATGACATCAAAGAAGGTCCCATGTTAACATGTAACCATGTCTGTTAAGATGCTTTTGATTGAAATAGCTTTTAATTTTAGTACATGTGACCACTTAATGCTGCACAATCAAAGATTAAGCCCAAAGATTTTTCAAATTAACAAATGCATTTATCTAATTAACAGCACAGTATGTGAATATTACTCCAGGCAGCCACTTGTAGATCAATAATAGTTTTTTTTTACATAGTTTTAATTTGGTAGTTAGTACAAAGCTTCCTAAAACAGCCTATTTTTGTAGCATAACAACTGGAAAGACGACTCTCATGCTGAAGAATGTAATCAAGAACTTTTTTGAGCTTCTTAGTTGACTTTAACAAGCTGATTAAAATAGCGTCCATCTGTACCAGCTGATCCAAGATAATCTTCATGCTTCTAAGAACACTGCAGACTGTCAGCCTATTCCACCATATCCACCCTGCTTTCTTTTTTCTCTGTATTTTATGTTTCTATGTCTCTAAGTCGTTCGTAAATATCCTTACGAACGACTTAAATTTCTTAAATCTACTATATTTCTGACATGTTTTTTTTTTGTTTGTTTTTTTAAGCAATAATTTGGTTCTCTTTCCATTTTCACCTCCCTCACCATGGGCCTCTGGGTGCTAGGTAAACTTTGGTTCTCGTCCAGCCTAGTTTATCATGGCTATCGTTATTTTTCTTTTGTTTCTCAATGTCGTTATACTCCGCCAATAAAAGGTATGACATATTTTAAGTATAATAAAAGTAGAATATGAATTCCTAAAAATCTGAAGATGTAGATAATGTGTCAGGATTCAGGTTTATCAGGCAGCCTCGGTCCATTTCATTCTCAGTTAGCGCTTCAAAATGATTCCCTTGCGTTTGCCTGCAGCAGAAGAAACTCGCTCTTCGCGCTCACAAAGCAAGGTGAGAGAAACCGAGGAATCGAGGATTGTTTTTTTTTCCTGCCAGCTTCTCTCAGAGAAACTTTCGACAGGTTTTTTTCTTCTTCTTCTCTCCCCAGCGGTTGTCAGTCAAATGCAAAAGCCGAATCCTTCTCCATCAACACGAGCGGCATCATCTCTTTCTGCCACTCGTCATCTCCTCTTTCCAGTCGCTCCGCTCCGCTGACAGCAGAATGGGACGCTGCCAACTCCAGTTGTTCCAGTCGCTGCAGACTCGCTCATTTTAATAGGCCGGGATTAACCAACGGGGGTCACAAAGGTCAGAGAGAGACTTTGGATTTCAGTGGGATTATACAGATTTAATCAGATTTCCCATCTCTGTGATGTGGAAAGGTAGGAGGACCGGCCGGTACCTGTGCGGCTTGTCCGTGGGGTAGAGGGCTTTGTTGAATCCGTCCAGCAGGGAGGCGTGAGTCTGCAGGATGATGATGTTGTAGATCACCACGGCGACCAGCATCATCACCATCTTCAGCTCGTAGTTGATCCTCAGGAAGACGGAGCACGAGACCAGGCCCAGAATGCAGCAGTAGATGAAGTACTGGAGACGTAAAGAACAGCAGAAAACCTCGTCTGACAGGGGAAACGTTGCATGTTTTCCAGGCCGCTCAGCAGCAAACGTCAGCTTGAGTTGCTAAAAAAATGTTGTAATATAACTTTAAAGAAATTTGACTTCCAGATTTGACGCCTTGAGTTTGGGCATCCGTCTCTTTAAGAAGCTCCTGCTCTGCTAGTAACCCTTTAACAATGTTTTTACCAGCGTTGCGCTGACAAGTCGCTCATATAACAAACTCAGCCGATTCGCTGTTCAACCAGGTGTTTGCTAATTGCTGCTGGCTAGTCTGAAGGAGCCGAGTTTTAATTACACAACAAAGGACAAATCTGTCAACCAGCCGCTCCTACCGGCAGGTAAAACTTGTTTTTGTCCTCCAGGTAGTTGGACCGACTGCTGTTGGACACATTCACAGAGAGAGCAGCTGTCTGGACGTCCTCTGCAGGTCCTCCAGGATCCTCCACAAAGAACTGGACAAACAAGTCAAGGGGAGACAAGAGGGGAAACACATTGAATTTATAGGTACATCACAAATTACCTCCTGGCAATGAGTTGAGACATGCAGATCTGAGTTGCTCCTGATAGAAATGAGCAAAACACTGAATTCAAAGAGCTTGTCTGAAGGTTTTCTATCAAGCTGTCCTCCAGCCTCGTTGAAAAATCAGGTGCAGCCGGCAGCTGCTGCAAAAAAGTGTGGCACTTTCAGATAAAGAGAATTAACAAGCGATTTACTTTCAATTCTACTGCTTGCGCTGCATACTTAGCTTGTGTGAGCCAGCCGTTCTCGTAACTGATTATTTCTCATTTTTATGAGCCGATTAGCGAGAATTATCACTCGGAGAATAATCCCACCACACGGGATCGACCCCGACATACTCACAGAAAATCAACTGTGGAGCCGAGCGGCTGAGTCGCCGCGGTTATTATTGAGCTCCAGCTGGTCTGAGCGCTCCTCGTTGATCTGCTGGACGAGCGCAGACTCTGAGCCAGTCGCAGGGTCAAGTTCGCCGCTTCCTGCAGCCGTGAGGCAGCAGAGCGCAGAGACTGAGCCCCGCCGTTGGGCTCGGAGCGCTGAGTCACCGGTTCAGTCTGTTCAGCCCTGAAACTTCCATCAAGCCGTCTCTGCAGAAGCCGTGCGGAGGTTTGAAACCTGCGATTGTTTTGCGGCGCTGCCATTGTTCTTGGCTGCATCGGCTTCTCCTGCAGGTGCTCTGGCAGTCGCATTCAGTTATTTATTTATTTTTTTCTTTCTTCTTCTTCTTCTTCTTTTTTGAATTCCTTTCAAAATGCCTGATTGTCACTTGAGAAACAGCCATCTTTTTGAAAACCAGAAAAAAAAAGGTTTTGCTGCTGTTCTCAGGAGTTATGATGATTTACACCTGACGCTGCCAGCCCTGGAGCCACGCCCGTCCGCTGGCAGGAAGGAAAAATCTTCCTGTCACCATTAATTTGAGAGTGGCATGTTCCTTTCAACATATCGAAAAGAGAAACTCCTCTTTCTAGAGTACTGCTCCTCCATTCATTTTGGTGTCTTAATGAATAATTCAAAACAAAAACACTGATTTGGGTTCAAAAGTTCACATGATGTCTCATTTTACTACTTAAATTTTTTAATTATGCTAAGACGTTTTAGATCAAGTTGAATTAAATGCGAAAAATTGTTTTCAAACTAACATCGTATTGGTTGACTTTTTTTGTTTTAACATATTGATATCGGTACGATAAATAAAACGGGGCGATATTAACGACCAATACTTATTTCCATGTTTTTGCCGAGAAAATGTTGGTTGTGTGACGATGATACCGATGCGGCAAAGGATTGTGGGAAGTTTAACTGAAGCAAAGAAGCAGTGGTGGAATGGGAGAAATACAATATGTACATTGTAATACAAATTGAGCATGTGTGTCACCAAAATGATGCGTAACGTTCAAAATAATATTTAAAATGCATTTAATTTATATTTGAATAATGGCAAATATCTAAATGTATAATTAAAATACTTTGTTGTAAATATTTTACACATTTCAGAAAAAAAATCATTGTAAACATGAGGACATGAAACAAAAAAGAATCACTCATACAAGGTATACAATATATGTAAATATTGGTAATTGGTAATGCCAGCAATATTTATATTGGAAATTGATATCGGCCCAAATTCTTTTATCAGTGCATCCTTAGTTTTGTTGATAAATGGAAAAAAAAGAAATCCAAATCATTCTGGTCTTATGTTTAAAAGTTAACTGTATTATGTCATAACTGTAATATTACAATATTTGTTTAGTAGCAGAGTTCAGTTCCAGTGAAGTAAAATTACAATGGTGTTAAATCATGAATGTTCCTAAACAGAACCTGACTAGCAAATTTATGTCTCCGTTTAAAAAAAAAGAAATGTTCAAGTCAATTCAGCATCTGTATTGGATCAGTTTCAGCCAGTACTGAACCTCAGTACTGGCTAAAAAAACGTGGATCGGTGCATCCTTAGTGAAAATCCAAATTTTTGAGTTGAATTTATCTTACAAAAGAAAAAAAAAAGAACAGTTTATATTCATGATTACGTATTCAGATTCATCAAGACACAAAACGCTGTATTTAAACTTATGACATCAACGGTGGATTTGAAGAACCGTCGATAAAGTTCTCAACTATTCAACATTCTTGCTGTTAGAACAACGGTGCAAAGGCCAAACGGAGGAGTTCTGCTCCTACTGGGTAGGAGATATCTGATCTGCCTCCAACTCTGCATTAGTTATCTGTGATTATTTTTGCTGGTAACGCTGCAGTGTTTGACTTTATAAAACCGAACCCACGGTTTATTGCGTTTTTTTTTTTTTTTTGCTGCTATAAATACCACACAGGCCAACACTTTATCTGCAGCTGCTTGCTGATCATGCACACACCCACGAGTCACAAGAAGACAAACTACATTCGCAACATTTTCTACCCGGCCGGGCTCACCATATTGAACACAGCCATCACCAGTATGAGAGCCGTGGTCGTCATGGTGAGGACCAATCGCAGCCAGGGGTTGTTGGTGACGATGATGCGAGAGGAAGCCGGGAGCCATGGCAGAGAGCAGAAGGACCCTTTCCCTCCCTGCTGTGGATCCAAGGAAACAGCAGGAGTGACTCAAAGATGCAGGGGGGGAAGGAGGAAGCAGTGGACAAACTTCCAGCATATTTATTTCAAATAATATCAGCAATGTACACTCAAAAACAAAATCAACCCTAAAAATTATGATATAAAACACACAGAATGCAACAGATGCATATAAATTAGTAAAATGAGACAAAACTAACTTACAAGAAGATATAGGAGCTTGTTTTGAGTCAAGAATTTCTCAAGGTTGATGAAAAGGTTCTAGTTAAATTATTTCACTTACAAGATTTTTTCTGTTACAAGTGGAAAAATCTGCAAATGAAACAAGCATTTTTTACTCTTTGGTGTCAATATTAAGGAATTATTTACTTTAAATGAGCTTTTATGTCTTGCTGAAAACTTACTCATGAGTTCGTTTTGTCTCATTTCAATATTTAGGTCACTATAAGCCAGACCAAAATGCCTATTACTCCCACTGTTAAGCTTGGTGGAGGATCTATGATGCTGTGGGCCTGTTTCACTCCCAAAATCTTTTTGGAACGGCGCTGCGACATAAAACTCTTTGAAATAAACTAATAACTGATCATAAATCAACTGATTCAAATTGATATTATTTTTAATTTCCTTTATCCTCCCACCTTGGAAACTGTCTCTCCAGTGGACGCCGTGCCTTCCCTCGGCTCATGTGGTTCGAAAGGACGTTTTCCGAGAAGACGCCTTTGATGGCAGCGAGCGCGTAATGAACTCTTCCACAGGCGAACAGAGAATGTTCTTTAGCGATTATGCGCCCGGTGGCGCGGAGATAAAACACGCGCCCGCTGTTTTGAGACGTGCCTCCTCGTTGGCCAATTAGCTGCTCTTCCAGCAGTGACTGTTAAATTGATTTACAAACCCATCAAACCTGATTTCTTTTTTTTTTTTGTTCCCGCCTCCCATTTCTAATTAAACAGAATACGAGTCCGACTCCTGGATCAGGACAGGCCCAAGGTTATTGGTTATCCTCCCAGCAATTAAAACTGACCCACTTACTGGGTGATACTACTCTCCTCGGCAGTGGAGCCCCGGAGACGGGTAACCGTGTCAGCATGGAAATAACCACCGTCGCTCTCCTCCAGCTGGATGAGAAGCAGCTTTGACATGATTTAATTTAATACAAAGACAACAGTTGTTAAATGTTCAAATGTGCCTCCGAACTAGTCTCAGTAATTGCTCCGATACGGAAAATTAGGATGGTTTAGAAAATACAACTTATTAAAAAAAAATGCTTGGAAATGTTCCATGGACCCAAGACGTTTTACTTGGCAAGCTTTATATTTAGCGTCAAACTAAACATTTACTGTGCTTACTAAACATTTGGCGTCAAACTTCAGCTCTAACCGAGATATTTAGCTAGCGAGCTCCATATTTGACTTCAAACTAAACATGTAGCTTGCTAGCTTATTATTTTTGTTTAAAGGAAACTATCTAGCTAGCAAGCTAATATTCTGAGCTAAAACTTAAGCTGTAACCTAAATGTTTAGCTGGCAAGCTGTAAATTTAGCTTCAAACGGACTACTTAGCATAAATATTTAACTTCAGAATTACCTTTAACCTTATTGAGCTAGCAGCCTCTGTACTTAGCTTCAAACCAAATGTTGCTTGTTAACTTCATACTCAGCTTGGAGCTGAATATGTTCCTGGTTTCCTAACTAAATATCTACTAATTCAGAGTTTAACTAAAAAAAAAAAAAAAAATGTTTTAAGCAGTTATTGTAAACAACTAGCAATTCATAAACTCATAGGAGGCAAGCCTGTCAAAATTGAGCTGATTGTCCTCCAGTCGTCTTTTCTTGTCTCTCACAGCAGTTTCCAAAAACTCACAGTGACGGCCAAATAATTCATGAAAGCCCCAGGTTTTGTCTCACGACGGTACAAAACTGTGGCGTGTCCAGAAGCGACGTTTGACTTAAAGGCTTTTGAGCCAACATGCTCAGTGATTTCCACAGTTCCAAAAGACCAGATATGGAGATTGGCGGAGAACGCATGAAATCATTTATTCATGAGACACTGCTCTTTGGGGCTCTCAGTCTCTGAATGAATACAGAGCAGATTTCTTCATATGCCGCATCCAGTGGGCGGACTTCTCACACGTTCAGTAAATCTTCAGATGGCAGCGATAAAGATATCACGTACGTGAACTAACTACGCGAATCCACATTTGCAGAACGAGAGAGGAGAAACCGTAAACATGCAACGCAAACGGTGGCATACGAAATTACTCAGACGGTCTGCACACTTTCAGAAAACTGCAACCATGCAGAAACACCGAGTTCCTTCAAATTAAGACAAAAAATCCACCTTTTTAAGAGTTTCCTTTGATCAGTGGCAACTGGCGCATTGATCAATACATCGATATATTTGTCTGATGAACGTTTTTGTAAAAATGTCCATCGTCGTTTCATAATTAGCTACTGTATGATGTTTTATAGTGAAAAACACTTTGAACTGCCCTGTCGCTGAAATGTGCAATACAAATAAACTTGATTGATTAACTGATTGATTAAAATAAATGGGAATGAAAACAAAGTCCTCAATTCTGTTGATGCACAAGGATGTGTGTGAGTTTCAAAGACCAAACTTTCTAGTACAGACTAGATTGTGGGAACCAACTGCTTTTGGATTAAGCGTTGTTGTGACTTGAGTTCAGATTATGTTCAGGTTTATAAGGAGGCATGGTGACGGTCCCCAGGGTAACGTCAGGGTTAGGTTATATAAAGTCGATGTAAAGTCCTGGTAAAGACAGTGGAGAATAACATGTGTGTGTGTGTGTGTGCGTGTGTGTGCGTGTGTGTGTGTAGTCAGGCAAAGACCGAGCAAACCCACCAGAATGTGACCAGCGAAGCAAAGGAGGAGGATCAAAGCCAACAGCAGGAACGTCAGGCCGAATGAAATCCCCAGCACAGCAGTTCTGCAACACAAACACACTCAGCAGAGCCGCATAACCGTGATGAAGTTTCTACTGCTCTGTGTCAGAGCTGCAATCCATTCACAGTAATGGGACATAACAGGAAGTTTTAGGGCATCTCCGGATCTCCGGAAACAAAGCTTTCAGTACGGAGGGTTTTTTTTCTTTTAAGCATAAATACAGCTGGGCAGAAAATTAAATACGACTCTCATAAAACGGATGAGGTAACGTCTCGACGTCGCGGAGCAATGTAGCGGCACGGGGGGAGAGAGGCAAAAAAAAATGTGAAAATCAATGGCCTCTCAGAAGTGGAATTACACCTTTGGCTCAGAGAAGCGGTAAATTAGCACGACCGCGAATTTCTGTCCTCGCTGTGGAAGCGGCGCCGCGCTTTTGATTCACCTGATCTGCAATCACTGGCAGACATGGTGCCCTTTCATCTCCCATCGGCTTTTTAAACATTCTGCCTCTTGCTCCCCCGTCTCTTTCATTTCAGCCGGGTCCCCGGCGATGAGACAGCTGGCGTCAAATGGCTTTTGCGCATCAGCGTGCCACCGCAGCTGGAGGCGGCTCGACGCTGCCGGCGGAGTGCGCCGTGCGAGTCGAGTGAAAGGGACCAAAGACTTACTTGGGCAAGACGAGGATCTGCACCACGAATATACAGCAGAATATGAGGCAGGCGCAGGTGACGTAGTACTTGAAGGCAGGTAAGGTGGTGGATCTGTACTGTTGAGAGAAGATAAATATGAGAAAATGCTTCTGGGGTGAAGCAGAATGCAACCAAGAAGGAATAAACAGAGGCTGTTTTGTTGAGATTTTATGTAGACCAACAGATCAGGCAATAAATAAAATCCTGTACAAAAGTCACTTAATTAGCAACCAGAGTCCTGCTGGATGTAACTCAACCTCAGTTTCAGTCTAGCTGGTCTGTAAAGACCTTGGCGGCTCTTTAATGCCTGATCGATCGATAGGCTCAGTTCGATTTGGGACCAAGATTGCAGCATTTGCTACATTTTCATCTGCTGCGGTTCGCTGTGTAAAACAAGCCAAACCCTTTGAGGAACCTGTTCACTCCCTTTGCCTGTGGGGGCGCAAAACCAAGGACTGCTGAAGGAAATGATATGAAAACCTCAGAAGGCAAGAGTGCAACTTCCTGCTCTGACAGATGTGAACAGGGTTTATAGCGTTTGTAGGTTTTCGCTTATCTTACTGGCAAAAGATTACACGCTATTTCTCCCGTTAGTTTTAGACGAGTGTTTGTTTTGGCTGTATTTACCCAGAATGCCCTGCGCTATAGCTCATGGTCTCGGGTCCAAATTTCAACCATACATGCTTTCGAACTGCACTAGAGTTCACTTCAACTGAAGTGAACTCTAGTGCAGACTAAAGTTTGCAGTTTGATCCAAATCAGAGTTTGATTGTATGTTCACACCTCCCCAAATGAGCCAGACTTTCCAGGCATTTGCCTGGAAAGTCTGATTAGTCTGATAGAGTTTGATTAAAGCAGATGAAGCACTCTCATACAACATGGAAGATAGGGTAACAACTTTAAAGCAGTGTTATTACAAAATCTGTTCAATGCGTCCAGGGTAATTCTGGAGCAGGTGATAATGCTTCTTTGTGCATTGAGGATGCAGTGATTTTTCCCCAAAAGAGCTCTCCAGTTCAGCACCAGACTGATGCATGTCGTGGGAAACATCGTCCGACAGTGATGCTGTATCTGGCAGAACTCTTTAATCTCCCACTTTCACCTATTGACTCAGGAAAAAAAGTTGGTTTCCTCCCAACTCGCGATCACGGTCTATTTTATGTTGGTCTCACAAATAAAATCCCACAAAGTAACGTCTCATTTTGTGAATGTAACACAGCAAAGTATGAAACGAATTCAAGAGGTTTTAATACTTCAGCAAAGGCACTGCGGTCATTTTTTCGAAACGCGCCTAAAATTCAACAAAAGAGGAGCAGAAACAACCTGAAATGTTTACAAGGACGACGACAACAACAACAACGTCAGGACAAAGTTTCAAAGTGGGAAGACAAAGTTGATCAGAGACTTTGACAAGCCTGCAGAGTCTCTGTGACAAACTGTCTTTTCTATTCCACATTATCCCATTGATTTGTTTCCCCGGTGGATCGAGCTGTCGTGTATGCTTTCGCCTACCTCCTTCTCCAGCGCTTTGTTGTGAAAGAACAATGAGATCCTCTGGATGTCCTCAGACTTCAGCCACTGTCTGGAAACACAATGGGAGCAGACAGACCACGGGACGGCGAGTCATTCCTCCTGACGCCTTATTTACCAGCCGAGACGCTGTAGGCGGTGGGGCTTTCACCTTGATTTGGTCTCAGGAGGAACTAGCCTCAGTGAGTTTGGTAACTTTCCCCCGGGAGAGGACAGGCGATAACGGTGGATGTTAAGAAGAAACTTGCAGTCCCTCGTGTGACCATATCAAGCACAAAACTACACTGATGAGCTGCACTATTGGAAATAATTTCTCTTTGTGTTGCCTAAAATATCTCTGCAGCCATCGTGGTTCATCTGGTGTTTTCTTAGTTCAAATAAATGAAATAAGGCAAAACTAACTTATCCGTCACTTTTTAGCAAGATATAGAAGTTTGTTTGAAGTCAACAATTTCTTAATTTTGATGAAAAAGCACTAAATCTATTGGCAGATTATTTCATCAGCCAATGAAAGTAGCACTATCTTATCAATATCAAGGAATTATCGACTAAAAACAATCTCCTATTTATTGCTGAAAAGTTACTTGCACATTAGCTTTGTTTTTTTCAAGTGGACTAAGATATTGAAACTTGAAACTGGGAAAAAATGACCAGGTAAGATGTTTTGTTTTTGCAGTGTGGTGGTTCAGAATAAAGTAACATCCACCCTCTAGCAGCTACAATCAATACTAAATAGTTAATATTCTCCAAAATGTTGCATTTGTGTGGTCCAGTTCATGTTTTAAAATGTCGTTTGATTTTTTTATTTTTTTTTTGCTGTTTGCAGATTCATTAGATTGAGTTTCTGCCTGGACACATTTTGGTTGAGAGTAAAACTCGGACTTGTTGACATGAAATGTTTTCCTGTTCAGAAAGAGATATCGACTTTCAGCTTCCATTGCATTTATCTTTTATCTGTATTTTTATATCTTTAATCAGGCTTGATAAACAGGAGGGTTTCTCGGCAGGCTTACTTCTGTGAGTTGATGCCATCGATGGTGCGAATCATTCGCTCGTTGAGTTCTTCCTCGAATCTTTTTCTCTGAGATTTGGATCTTCGGTTAAAGGGAAACAAGAACACAACGAAAGCAGAAGAAAAAGATGAGAAACGTCAACAAACGTCAGCGTATTTCACGTGACTGACCAACAATCACGCTCAAGCGTGTGTTTGAAAAGCAGAAACTCCAAACTGCGGCGTGTGCCTTGAGCAGGAGTGACACCTCTCTCACCTTTCTCTTCTTTGGAAGTAGTACTGCCCCATAGGAACGTCCTGGAACGTGAAACGTACTCGCTGTGAGCGCCGGGCCTCTGGGTGAGGCGGAGACAAAAACGGACGCGGCTCACTCACTCTCGTGTTGATCTTGCCGTTGTCGGCCGTCATGCTGTCTCGGTGGTGGAGGTTGGCAAAGGGCTTGGCCGCCCCCCAGGACTCCAGGTAGCGGGTCATCCGGACGGACGCCCTCATCTTCCCCCCGTCCAGAGACGGTCGGGAGCGCACGCCCAGCAGCGGGCTGTGCCTCTCCATCTGAGGACGACATTAAAAAAAGAGGAAACCCGACAGGTGAAAATGCACCGATTCTGTTCGCGTAAAAGCGAGAAGGACAGTGAGCCGGGAGAGGGGTGGGGGGACGTTTGAAGACTTCCACACCTTCCGCTCGCCTGTCAGTGTTTTCGAGCCACTTGAAACACTTTTTTTCAGCGGCGAGCGACGCAGCGGCCGGCGTTTATTTTGGCGATGAGTGTTTTTCTGCTAACAAAGAGAGCTCCACTCGAGTTGAATCTGCAGAGGATTAAGAGCCGCACCTCGGGCGATGCATTTTAATTGCTCTCAAACAAACAGATACACACACACACACACACACACACACACACACACACACACACACACACACAAAAGTCCGGCTGAGGCTATTTTCAGCTCTAACAGTGATGCTTAATGACAGTGACAGCAGAGATGACACCTTCTGTGGTGCAGGCACCATGTTTGGACTGGGCTCAATGAAAATGTCAGAGAGCACCTGCAGCCTGATACTTATTAGAATATTGGAAGAAAAAAGAAAACAAAAAGCTCATGTGCAAAACTCTACTGATCACAGTGGCGACATTTTGGCGTAGAAGAAGGAAAAGACGAACGTACGGCGCGTAAATAAACTGAATGCATTGGATTAAATAGAGGGCGAACAGAGACCGCCTGAAGGAGGCAAAAAGGTTTTCCTGCTCATTATTTAGAGAGAGAGAGGGAGAGGAAAAGAAAGTGTCCATTTTGGTCAATTTACGCTCCGGTTAAAGCTCCATTTTTTTATTTATATATATATATTTTTTTGTCTGTTGCCAAGCCAAACAATCTGAGCGCGCTCTGGATGTCAGGAGAATTATTTATAAAGAGAGAAAAAAAAAGCAAAGTTCTCCACAGACGGTTCACAGAAGAGTCAGGTCCTTTAAATATCCCCAATCAGACCTTAATGTCCTGTTTTGTCAGGAGGAGCTGCACAATGTCACAATCCTCTCACTGCGCCCGCGGCGGAGTGCGCACTCGTAAACATAATCCTCTCTGAGCCGAGAGACTGACCAAACACCTGCCAGCATTTGATAACATTTAGTCACTGCTACACTCCATTATTTTTCCACTACTTGACAATGTCTGTGTTTATTAGCGGCGCATCCGGGAGCAGGAGGAAGGGGTGGAGACGATTTTTCTGGGTTAACCTTGACCAGGGTGCCCAAATGTGCAGAGGGGGATTGTGGGGTTTTTTTTTGTGGGCTGTTTTGTCTTGTCATAATTACCCAAAACCGTGAAATTACAGCACAATGTAAAGGTTTGCAACATTTTATCACATCACAGCCACACGAGTTCATCTGTTTTATTGGGCTTTTACGTAACCATGGAAAGCAAAGCTTTTGCCCCGGAGCAAGAAAATATTGCTCCGGGCCGGAGCCGCAAATGAAGAAGGGAAAGAAGAAGAGAAAAAAGGTTTTATGTAACCAAAAGATGAATAATTTCAAAAAATAGAAATACTGAACTAAAATGTTTTTTTTTTTATTTCTGCTGAATGAGTCCTTAGTTCTGAAAAATGAAATGAAGCCCTTGGTTTTGGATTGATCTAAAAACCAAGGGCTTTTAGATACCAAGTCGGCATCGGATCGATATCAGCTGATCGTCGCTTTAGTGTCAGAGTCAGCTTTGAAATTGCATCTTATTTTTGTTCCTTGGTGACTCAGCTCCGCCTCAAAAAAAGATTTTGTTTTGATTTGCTCTCAAATTCTATATTTTTTTTGTATTTTGTTTGTCCCAGAAGTTATTTCCGATGAACGACAATATTGTTGTTTTGTTACCGTTGAACATTGAACACTGGAACTTTGGTCATTTTTGACTGTATGAAGTTTCACTTTTTCCAATTCTCAAAGTTTTTTTTTTTTCATTTTTTACATCGTCTTTTGTATTTACGTGCAACAACACAAAAACACACAGCAGAATAAATCTGCATGGAGGTAGTTAGATATTTTTATAGATATTATATTTATATATTTATATTTTTTAGATATTTTTGTTTCCTTCACCGGAGATAATTAGTCTTCCAGTCATTTATGTTCATTGTTACAGGTTAAGACTTGTGACAGTGGCAGGTGAGCCACCGGATCCAGGCGGCGGCTCCTCACCTTGGGGTTGATGACCAGGTGGGTGACCACATTGTGCTCTTTCAGGTAGGAGTCTCTGCTCTGTCCGTCTCCGGGCTCCACCTTGTATGAGCCTTTCAGGTGCTCCAGCGTCACAGAGGAGATGTGGACCCGCCTGGGGAAGAGTGAGCGGACACATAATGAGAGGCGAAGTTCCTGCGTCACCGTGCTGCTGACAGCTTTTATAAACAAAAAAACAACACAAAACAAAAGAAAACAGGTTATTTGCTCGCCGGCTTTCGAAGCACTCCGCCTGCAGTTCTCCCTTTTCGTCTCTGTTTGTTACCTTTGCATGCACAGTTAGGAGAAGATGGAAATACATTTCATTTTTACTTTTTCAGCCGATGTGGGTTTTTGTTTTATTATTATTATTTTTTTTTTCTCCCCTCCAAATACCTCTTAGCAGGAGACAAACCATTAGCAGCCCGGTGAGACAACACTGAGAGCTTATTTTCAGAGAAGCGAATACCGACCCACCGGCCAATTTTCACAAGCTTGTTACAGCGCCAGGCAGGCAGACCTAATGGCGACATAACTAATGCAGAGCTGCTTAGTCAACTGAGGTAGCTATAATTTACTAAAATGCTATAATAGGTGTAATTATAACAGACTTGTCTGATGTTCCAAGTCTCACTGGAAGTGCGTTTGTCCTTCAGGGGCCACTGTAACGCTTTCACAGTAACCACCAACAAACACTGCTGTGAAATTACTGCGTCCGTTTGAGGAATCTCACCCCGGCACTCCTCCCGCCTCCATGTGATTGGCCAGCGTGACGTCGTGCGACCACACGTCGTACTGCCACTTGCGGAGGCCGATCACGCCGCAGAGGACGTTCCCGGAATGGACCCCGACGCGCATGTTGATGTCCACCCCGGTGGCGTCGCGGACCTTCCTGTGGACAGGGGCACGGGGGACAGAGCAGAGACGGACCTCTGTTTTCACCAGAGGGTGACATCCAAGGAGAGGACGACTCGTGTGTTCGAGTCCCCTTCATGCTGCAACCACAGACTTCAATGTGTTGTGTTAGAACTTTGGTTCTGTACGTCTCTCGGGGCTCTAATCAGTTCGTCTTTGGAAAAATCTCAGACGATACGGTCGGCCACCTAAACTGGCAGGATCAAATTAATTAGAGACAACCCCATCCACTAAAGTTGATCGTCAACTGCAATGGAGGAACCCTTGAACCGTGCAGACTATACGGCTGAGTCGGGTCGAACCGCACTGTGACTGTGTAGTGGAAAGGGGATTATTAGCCGTGTGCTTAAAAACATCCAGCTAAAGTTACAATGGAATACAACCCACTTCACAATTATGCACTATTTTGGTCTGACAAATAAAGTCCAAATACATTACAGTGAAGTGTGTGGCTGCAACAAAATAGCTCAGGGTGTGTGAACCCTTCTGCAAGGCTTTGAAAGCAGTCCTGATAAATTAAGAAAAAAAACACATCAGAGGCCAAAGTAGACCACAGTTTGAGTCCACACCAAACAGAAGCAGTTTTGTTTTTGTCCGCAATCTAATTAAAATCAGTTGGACAATTAAAAAAAAACAACAACAGTAAAATCCACAAACTGATTTGTAATTGTGTGGAGTAATTGCCGACTGTAATTAAAGGTCAGCGCTGGCACATCTGTCCGTCAAAACAATACACATCTCTATGCATGAGCGAGAGACGGAGAGAGCAAGAAAACAGGAAACGACAAACACGTAAAGCGCCATGTGCACTCGTCTGCTTGGATCGTTACTGTTGGTTCAGAGGCTTATCGTGTTGAATTCACCCTGTGTTTAAACAGAGCTGCAATTAAATATGGCATTCCTTCTGCTCAATCTGTTTAACAGGCGCGTGTTTGTTTGTGTTTGTGGAGGAGAAGAAGGAGGAGGAGAAGAAGAAGAAGAGTGAGGAGCGGGAGAGCGAAGGGGTGGTGTTGGTGGTGGTGGGGCGGGGGGTGGAATTGGTGTTTTACTTGATGGCCTCACACATATCCAGGCCCATCTTCACGCAGTTCCTGGCGTGGTTCGGCAGCGACTCCGGGAGGCCGGACACGCAGTAGTAGCAGTCGCCCAGGATCTTGATCCGCATGCACTCGTTTTCCTTAAAGGAGGAGTCAAACAGACCGCACCCGCGTTGATTAGACGTCGCTATTAGTGGCCGGCATTTCGTCTCACCCCTCACTTCCACTCGGCGCTCGCACTCTCGCAGTCAAATCCACGAAGCCTGAAAAATCAGTCGCCCACACGCACAACACATTAGCTCTTATTCCACATGTGGGGTGAGTAACCGCTCACCGTTGGAGCTTTCATTTTATTTTATTTTTTGTTTTGTTTTATGTAACTGCAGCTTCAGGAGGAGATAGTAGCTGGACACAAAGCTCAGGAAGCCTGACTCAACTTATAGCTGAGCACCCATGAGACTGGCATTCACTGTGGGCATCCTGCGCACACACACACACACGCACACCCACACCCACACACACACACACACACACACACACACACACACACAGACTGGGCTCGGAGAGCAGACGATAACAAGGCCCAAATGGCTTTTGGTCGTAAAAAGAAATTGTCGCCTCGGCTGTTTTATGATTAGTCCAGTGCAGTCGGATAAGCTAAAACATTCTGACCGGACCCAGCCGGTCCAGAGTCGACCCCTCATTCCCCCACCCTGAAGAGGGTAAATCATGGATACGGAGATTGAATAATGGGTTAATAGAAACAAAACCCACTTGATTCAGCCTGAAACATCCACTATTTTAAAATGTCCATTCGGTGCATATTTTGGATCTAAAGTCGTGGTTCGCTACGTTTCCAATATATTAAAGCACATTTTTTTCTTATGTGCTTTTTTTTCTCATTAGTTTTTTTTTTTTTTACGTGAACAAATAAAGTTAAAATAATCCGACAGTAATTTAACTATATCAGCATGCCGATACAGAACTGAGTGAACATCTGGTTACCAGCTGCTCCTGAACGCACCACGGAAGAACAACTGTTGGGAAAACTGACTTCTGGTCCGCATGTCTGAGACTTGGAAAAACTCATGATGCATTCGGATCTGGTTGATTGCAACAGGCAGCTGGATTTGGACTTTAGCCTGTTTTCCTCAGTACCAGTGATGTTTACATTCAGCTTGTCACAGTTTGACATGAGAACATTTAGCAATTAAAGCTACTTAATTTACATCAAAAAGCACTTTTTTTTCAATGTCGATGAGAACAAAACTTTAACCTTCCCCGATAGACGTCCCAAAAGCGTGTGTGTTCTGTCACACTCCTCCAACTCAAGCTCTTAAAACCTCAGTCTGCGAATAAATCTTCATCAAATCCTTACATTTCACTCATTTGACTGGAAAACAGACATGCAGGTGTGTGATATGAAGCTGTTTTACCTTCGCGATCTGGTCAAATTTGCCAAACAGCTCGTTCAGCATGTGAACAAGCTCGCCAGGGGAGCAGTCACTGGCCAGACGAGTGAAGCCCACAATGTCGGCGTAGAGGATGCTGCAGAAAGTAGAAACCAACAACGCATAGCGGCGTTATGAAAACGTGTTTTATGTGTTTCAGTGGCTTATTTTCAGAAACAGTCATTATTTGGGTTGATTCTTATGGGATGAAAGACAATAAACCCCCCAAAAACCAGCATGTTTACACTTTTTGGCAAGATTTGAATAAAGATTCTCACTTGGCGAACTGAAACTAAGGGATGAGACAAACCAAAGAAGAAGGGAACTCTTCAGCTAATGCCTCAACATCAAGCGGCAGCTCTGGTGACTGGGGCTGCGGTTGTTGTTTGTGAGCATAAAGTTTTTCTGACAGGCAAATGTCTCGTTTTGCTATTTCTCTTGTTTCCTGTGTTAGGGCATAATATCTGCTGATGTCACTTCGTTAAATCAAACCAACATTATACGACTCATAAATAAATATTCCACTGCCAAAACACACAACATTATGAAATATATTTTTTGGTCTCATTTGTAGTGCTAATATCTTTGGACACTTTAAATAACTTGCAAGTAACTTTTTAGCAAGATACATTAGCTTTTGTTTAGTCAGTAATTCCTTAATATTGATTGAAAAAAATGCTTTCATTGGAAGATTATTTCAGCTTTTTCACATTATATTTCAACATTAAGGAATAATTAACTTACAAGCTTTGTTGCCTATATTTTGCTGAGAAGTTGCTCATTAGTCAGTTTTGTCTTATTTCAACTGAACTCAGATATTTTCATCGGAAACTAGACCAAAAATACTTGGCAAGATGTTGCGTTTCTGCAGCGTGTGAGTCTTTAATAGCCGTATGTTGCTGCGTGTCACTCTGAATCATTTTCTGCTTCTCTTAGAAGAGCGAATGAAACGTCGGAACCGGTGAACGTTTTGTTGCCGCCATTTCGGACCGTTTTAGAGCAGCTCGGTCATCATCTGTGGCTTAAACCAGACGACACTCCACAAATCCAGCTTGTCGTCAAAAAATAAATAAAAAAGAGCTCGAGCAGAAGAAAAAGCGTGTTAGGCAGCGTAGATCCCAATAAAAGCAACACAGACGTGTGTGTGTGTGTCCTTGAGTCCTTGAGTGTCTGTTCCACGTCCTGAAATGAAATTGGCTTCCTCTCCCCGCTGGACCATAGGAGAATTTGTTATTAGTGGAGGAATAATAGCGAGATAAACGCGAGGACACTTCGCTTTCACCCATAAACCCAGCTGAGGCTGGAGTTGGACAGAAATACAGCCTCTTGAGTAAAGCTCTGGGATGACGTAAAGAAAAAAAAAAAAGGTTTTCTGGGGACTGCTGCTCTCATCGTGAGCCAAGATCAGTGGCCTCTGTGCTGTGACGATAAACCTTCGCCGCACAGAGAGGGATGTCATTGAGAGGCGAGGACAAAAGCTCCTTTTCTGTTTGGAGTAAAGCGGGAGGACGGGAGGGGTCAAATTTCAGCTGAACTTCACCATGGCGATGAAAAGAAGTGTGGTAAGAACACGAGAGGAGATGACCGGAAAGGGAAAAGACAGGAGCGGAAACATGAGCGAGGAAATGGAGGCCGAAAAAAAAAAGAAAAACATAGAAAAAGGCGAGAAATCCAAATTTAACAGCAGGTAGAGAGGAGTCAGACAAAAGGTGGCGAGAAAAGAGCGGCGATGATGATGGTGGGGTGGAGGGAGGGCAGGAGGGAGCGCTCAAGCCCCCACGATGAGAGCAGAGGATTGTAACCTTGATTATGTGTGGAGGAAGCGGGAGCCGTACCTGACGTTGGTGTGCCGCTGAACGTAGAGGTTGTGGAAGTTGTTGGTGCTCTCGGTGCGACCGAAGTTTGGCCCCTGCAGCCGTTGGATGATTTCGGCTTTCATCACTCTGGCGATGTGCGCGGGCAGCAAGGACAGCAGTAAGCGCTCCTGGACGGGCAGAGGCGGGACCAAACCGGTCCGAATCATTCTTTCTGAACACGCGGCATTACATCAAACATTCAGCTCTCGTTTCCCTCAAAGAGAAATCTAGCAGATTAAACTGGAGCTGAACGTGGAAAACCAAGAACGAGGCTTTTCCAGGTCAACGCTATAATTGAATTCTATGCTGCCAGCTCCACATTTGACTACAGTGCATACAAAAAAAATTCATATTTTTATGGAGGTCCAAACAGATCACATCAGAGTGTCTGAAGAGTTTTCCTACACATGCAAAAATCTGTTACGCAATCAAGAACTTCCCATGTAGGTGATGATGCGTGAGAGGATCACATACACTCCTGATCAAAATCTTAAGACCAGTCAAAAAATTGCAAGAATTTGCATTTTGCACTATTGAATCTTAAGAAGATTCTAAGTAGAGCTTCACAATGTTAAAAGAAAATATTAGTGCAAGAGACAAAAACATTTGAGCAGGGAATTTTCTGAAAACTGCATTTACACTCAAACATGATTTTTTCAGCTGATCAAAAGTTTAAGACCGTAGTCTTTAAAAGCCAAAAGCTGTGCAAAAATCTGGATTCCATGTCATGTTCTGTGAAGTCTTTACACTGTCAAGACCTCCAGATGGCAAAAGCAAAAAAATTCACTGACTTTGAACGTGGCAGGATTGTTGAGCTGCATAAGCAAGGCCTCTCACAACGTGCCATTGCTGCTGAGGTTGGACGCAGTAAGACAGTCATTTTGCATTTTTTAAATGATCCTGAGGGTTATGGAACAAAAAAGTCAAGCGGTAGACCCAAAAAAATTTCACCAGCTCTGAACCGCAGGATCCGATTGGCTGTCCGTCAAGACAAGGGACGATCCTCTACCCAAATTAAAGCCATTACTGGTGCCGACTGCAGCCCGATAACCATCAGACGGCATCTGCAAGGGAAGGGCTTCAGAAACAAAAAACGTCTTCAAAGGCCACGTCTTGTTCAATGCCACAGAATTGCCCGTTTGGACTTTGCAAGGGTGCACCAAACATGGGACATTGAATGGTGGAAGAAAGTTGTCTTCTCTGATGAGAAAAGGTTTTGGCTTGATGATCCTGATGGCTTCCAACGTTACTGGCATGACAGGATATCCCACCTGAGATGTTTTCTACACGGCACAGTGGTGGGGGCGCCATCATGATTTGGGGTGCGTTTTCCTTCAATGGAACAATGGAGCTTCAGGTTGTGCAGGGGCGTCAAACAGCAGCTGGCTATGTGGAGATGTTGCAGCAGGCATCCCTCATGACTGAGGGCCCTCGTCTGTGTGGTAATGATTGGGTTTTTCAACAAGACAATGCTGCAGTTCACAATGCCCGCCTGACAAAGCAGTTCTTCCAAGAGAATAACATCACTCTTTTGGACCATCCTGCATGCTCCCCGGATCTAAACCCAATTGAGAACATTTGGGGATGGATGGCAAGGGAAGTTTACGAAAATGGACATCAGTTCCAGACAGTGGATGCCCTTCGTGAAGCCATTTTCAACACTTGGAGCAATGTTCCCACTAGCCTCCTGGAAACACTGGCATCAAGCATGCCTAAACGATTGTTTGAAGTCATCAACAAGAATGGTGGAGCTACTCATTACTGAGTCCTTTTTTGGCACTTTGATTTCTGTTTTGGGGGGTTTTAGAGGTTTTTTGAGCTATGGTCTTAAACTTTTGATCAGCTGAAAAAATCATGTTTGAGTATAAATGCAGTTTTCAATTAATTCCCCGCTCAAATGTTTTTGTCTCTTATGCTGATTTCTTCTTTTAACATTGTGAAGCTCTACTTAGAACCTTCTTAAGATCCAATAATGCTAAATGCAAATTCTTGCAATTTTTTGACTGGTCTTAAGATTTTGATCAGGAGTGTACACTGCTAAAGTTGTTTAATGTGTTTTCCAGGTACACCGTGCCATTTTGTAGCATAAACAAGTAATTGTTCAGTCGGTCTAAAGATGCTACATATATACAATATATGTAGTAGCAAAAGAAATTTCACTTCCAGATTTAATGCCTTGAGATTGGGCCCCTGCGCTCTTCAACGCTCCGACTCTTTCTAGAGAAGAAGCTGATCTGCGGTTCCACCAGGTGTTTGCTAACTGCTGCTGGCTAGTCTGAAGGAGCTGAAAAGGCGTTTTGCACACCTGAATGGTTGCCATGGAGATTAAAGGATTTTATGGAAAAATCGAAGCAACACTCCAGGTGCGTTTTTGAGGGCGGAATAACATTGTAACATGATGTGGAGCCCAAACTTTGACATGACACTGCCCCTTTAAGTGGAAAATGATGAGTGGTTTTAGTTTTAAAGAACTTTTGTTCAGTGAATTAGTGAATTATCCATTTCATGCTCGAGTGTTTTAGATTATAAAATGCAGTTTAGAATCATTAAAAAAAACTGAACTATATCACTTCTGAGAGAAAATTATCTTTTGAACTGAACCATTTTTAAAGCTCTGCAGCTAGAAATTAAACAAATCAAAGCTGCAGAAAAGTTTGCAGTTTCCTGGACATAGTCTGACCTTTCTGACCTTGCTGCTGACATTTTGTAGATTTTCTCCAGAGCCTAAAAAATATTGAAAAACACAAAAACATTTTCACTTTTAAGGTTCTCCAACAGAAAAGTCAAATGACTGCAATGTTTATTTATTTATTTTTTTTAACGATTTCAGTGCAAAAATGTCTGTTTCTCACTTCAGTCTCTAATTATTTAGCCTCCTAAATATAGCTCTGTCGTTAATTCTCCCTAACCATGGCTTATTGGGGTTAATTTATCAGGAAGAACTGGAAGACGTCAGAAGAACAATGACTATTTTACCCCGCACTCTGATTTTCTCATTATCTGCCAGTAATGAGGGTGAAAACCAAGAGTAACAATTTTTTTCCCCAGTTTAAATATTAATTTCTTACTTCAATTAAATGCATCTTGAACCCTGCCCAGGGCAAGGGAAAAATTAAAAAAGCAGGGATGAAGCGACGTGTGTAACAAAGTCAGTCACTGTGGCGGTGAACTAAACGGTCCTTCATCTGCACCCTCGAAATTCACATTTCAAGCAGAACACGCTTCTCTCCAGCCACTCTCTACTCCAGTTTTTAACCACGTCACTTTCCGCTGCAGGTCTGACTGTTTGTTCTTTTATTTATTTCTCCCCCCCCGAACCCCCATCACTCAGAATTTGTAAGACTGTTTAATGCCTTCGGTGCGTTTGCTATGCGTGGAATGAGTCATCCGGGCGGTCGAGCCGAGTTTCTCCGCACAGTCGCCTCACAGCAGCACCGTTCTTGGCCGATGTGTAGTTTGCATGTTCCCGTTGCCCGCGTGGGTTTTCTCCAGGTACTCCCTCTTCCCACCCACACTCTCAAGATCCTTATCGCACCAGAAGCATGAATATGCAAACAGGAGGTAAAGTCGTTCTCGCTTTGATGAACGGATGAATACTTTCCTTAAAGCGCTGCAGGTTGCCTACGCAATCAAACACAGACCTGCTTTAACATAGGTCCTGTATAATAACAGTAACCATAAAAGAACATTTTATTGATTGATTTTTTTTCATTGTATTGATAGGAGAAACTTTTGTGGAATTTTTTCAATTCTTATTTCGAGGGTCACACAAAATGAGATAAACCGAGTCTTCAGATTGTTGGTGTTGGTCAAGAACAATGTGTTGTCTTCAACTAAATACGAAACGTTGTCGAATCAAAATTGTTGATGTCGTCATTAAATTTGTTGCTTTTTTCAGTATTGTGGTGGTTTTTCATGGGTTCCTGATCCACGTTTATGTTCCTAATCAACTTTTAAAAACCTTTCTCTAAACAACCTTCCTACCGAAACCCAATCTTTACTCATTTTGACCACTTTTATATTCACCAGATTATTTCTTTCTTTTTTTTTCTGAGCACTTCTTAACCATTTTACAAACCGTACTTTCTCTAATGACCTTTGTAGAATCTACTAACAACAACAATTCAAATTTAGAGCCATCTTCAACAATAGCCGCTACTTTTCAAGACATCGCCCAAATGAATGAGAAAGTTTAGGTCTCAACACAAAAGCTTGTGGAACGCCGCATTGAATGGACTGGAGCTGCAATGTTGCAATGAATACTGGTCTATAAAGTCTGGAGCTTTTTAAAATGTCTTAAATCAACATATAGTTTGCTGATTTTTTTCCCAAGAGCTTCTCACATAAATGTTTGTGGCATCAGTGGACTATCGACGATTCCACATTTATTGGTGTTTTCTCCGTCACTATCCTAAGAATTGTTTTCCACGTCAGCGTATTTTGTTACAACTACAGTCATAACAAGGGATTTAGCCACGCTAGGCCAGAGGATTTTCATTTCATTTACACTTCAGCCTTTCCCTTCACAACCATATCTGCCTTTTTAAGAGGGGGATAAGAGAATGAAGCATATTCACCAATTATTCTAGCAGCCTGTCAGGCAGAGCAAAGCTGTGTGAGTGTGGAGTCAGGTGGCGTGACAGATTGGAGAACGGGAAAAAGAAGAAAACAAAGAAAGAAACACAGCTGAAGTTTAAAGAAATATCAAATTCCTATTTCTTGAAAGAAAAATATTTTGATAATTAGAAACACCTTTTGTGACACAAAACTGTTCGGTTTTTGGCCTCGAAATAAGCGGTATGTGCTCCTTACTGTTTTGGTATTTCTAAAAACAACAGTAGTTTCTGTGTTGTACAGCAGATTCAAACATAAGAGCATATGAAACACTGCAATAGGAGTTTGTTATCTCAATTTTTCTCCAGACACATCAGATGGAGGGGTTGTTTGAGCTCAATTTTGGCGCGCGAGTGCGAGAGCATACGCGCACGCGTCGCACGCAGTTATGTGACTCACGACTGCAGCTCGCAGTGAAAGAGGGCCATTACATTGTTCACACACCACGGGCTCATTTCCTAAAACACAGCAGCGAATTAAGCCTGGAGAGGTGCTCGGTTTGAGGGGATGCGCTAAAAATAGAAAGGCGCACTGTCCTCTCTTATTTACTTATTCAGCACTGAAGCAGTTTGAACGCGGCGCGCAGCAGGAGGAGTCGGGGGGCTATGGCAGCCCGAAGAGTTGTGGTGTTATTAATTGTGTGTTTGACTAATGAACTCATAAGTCAGCTGTTGGATGAGATTCGACTCTGTGAAGTCATGTGTCTGCGCTAATTTTAACATGCGCACTCTTCTTCCCACACGCAAACCATCGCAGGGAAACATATGCCAGAAACGTGGCGAGGGAAAAAAAAGTTAATGATTTGCATCGAGGTGTGAGCGAAAGCCAACACAAATATGCTATAATTGTAGGCATGCGTTGCATTTGCTGGTGAAACAGAGAACAGAATAGCAGCAGGTAGCTGCCATGTTTAGTCTGATGCTGCTGATATGACGCTGTCCTGCTGTCCTGAAAGGGAAATTGCCTATTTTGTCAACAAATAAGAAGAAGAAGAAAAAAAAAAGGCCATCATAGTGAACACACCTCTGAGCAGACCATCAATTATTTGTGTAATATTATATGTCACTTCCCTGGTTGGGAAGAAAGCCTAATGTCACGACAAAGACGTTAATGTCAAGCAAATGTCACAGCAAAATGCCACTTAAGACCTACCAACTTCCCTTCTCTGACGAAACTCTGAAGCAGAGTGAATTGGCAAGTAACCCGAACGTGATTACATTTTAATTTGGCTCGTCGTAGTGTGGGGCAGATAGAAAACAATAAGAATGGGAAACCCTGCAGAGTTATCTGCTTTGGATATGGGGAGGATTGTAGAGTTGTGCTTTGAGTTTCGTGAGTTACTATGAAAACTATCAGCTGTGGAATCAGACGGTTCTCGAGTTACAATTAGACTGAGCTAATCTTATTTATTTATTGATTGATTGATTAGCTAGGCAGCTAACGGCTAAAACACCAAGGCTATCGTCATCCTGTGTTTGTCTCAGAACTTGGGTGTAGTAACTGTGATGCAATTTATTGAGCTAGCTTTCTAGCTGCATAGGAGAAAACAAGCGGGATTTGCCAACTGTTGTGGTCATAAAAGGTGATAATTTACCTACAAATGTTTTGAGTTCAAACACAAGCAAACGGGAAAAACATTTTCCACTGGTTTCCTAAGAGACAAACGACCAGCTACGCTGAAATAGTCGACACTCAAAATTTTTGTTTTGAATGCTAGACGGCCATTTTGGGAATGGGACTCGGGTCTGAACTCAGAACGATTAGTTCAGGTGTTCCTGTTGCATTTTCACCTGGGAACTTGGAAAATCTGACTTCCACAAATAAGAGTTCAGTATTAGACCCACTGCAATGTTGGTTTTTCTGCTGAATAAAGTCTGACCCGTCAGTGAGTACATTCTGACTGAATATAGTCTCCAATTTAAGCTCAAATTTCACAACGTGCACAGTTCCTGATGTATGGTGAACGTTTTTCAGAGGTTATCTGAGGCCATTAAGTCCACGCATTTCCACTGCATTAATCCCATAAAGACAAATGAAAAAAAATTAAAAAATTAACTCTAGTAAATGTAAAACTGTATCTACAAATTTAATAAAAAGCTGCGAGTTCTGCCACGTTTAGTCGCTACAGCAAATAATAAGCATTTGCACCAGTTTTGAAACATTCTTCCACATCAATCCATCCTTTGATGGACTTTGTACCTGTTGATGCTTCTCAAACTCCAGTTTGATGGGTGACTTGATGCAGTTGCAGGTGTCCTGATAGGTCTGCCTGAGCGCCAGGTCCATGAGGTGCTTGTGATACGCCCCGGCCAGGTTTCCACAGGTGAAGATGATCACATTGGCCAGGATCTGCCACACACACACACACACACACACACACGCACACGCTGCATTTACATCTACAGCAGCCATAAAAGATTGTCTGAGTACGATCTGCGTTGCGTTTATGTCCGTGCCGTCCACTTGGGGTGCATTATTACCTTATAAAAGCAGGAGAGCACACACGTTGGCGTTAACTCTCCGTCATTATCCGAACCTCAAGCCTTTTAAGAAGAGGAACCGCAGATCAATAGATTATCCTTGTTGCCGTGTCCGAGGGTAATGAACATTTCTGAGTGTTTTATGGATGATGCAGACGTTCAGAGTCAACAAGACTGAGAAGAGCCACTGTGATTAGAGTGCTATCAGTGTGTTTACTGTGAGGCTGGACTGCAGAGCGTCTAAGCGTGTCTGAGTCTAAGCGGATTCAGAGACGGTACCCGCTCTGTGCCTGTGATTGTACTGAACAATCACAGGCACCCTTAGGATTTGCCATTTTTATTCAGGCTTAGAGACGTTACTGTTCTCTGAGATTACTTTACGTCCGAATTTGCTGCGTCGTGATGGGTCAGCTGCTTCATAACCTAGACTTTGGTCTAAAATATTCTGCCAGGGTTTCTTGTTGTGCAGAGGGTTCGCTCAGCAGCGATGTTTAGAGAAGGTAACGGAGCGGCCGCACAATCATCCAGGCGTTCAAAAGCTCGCCAAGTCTGCGGGTGAGGCAGAAAGTTCTTTAAAAAGTCCATTTCCTTCGAACGGCTGACCCGCGCACTCGAAGGCTCGAGGACGGACGAGTTGTGAGTCTCACCTGCCACACCAGAGGTTCCAGTTCTGTCGCGGTGGAGGTCAGGCAGACGCTGAGGGTGACGGTGTGTGAAAGGCAGGTGATGCCGCTGGCGATGACGGCCCATTTCATGGAGAAGGGCAGCATGGTGTAGACCACAAACACAATGAACAGAAAGAACGACACCTGCAGGCGGAAAGTGACAGAAAGTACAAGAAAACCAGGTAAAAACGAGGCGTCCTGGAGATCAGCGGCTAACTTTCAGCTGCTGCTTTCAATATTTTTGTACTCTGAGGTAGGCCCGTCGCAACAAATCAATTTGTCGCATGGAGAATTTAAACGAGCTCAGCAATTTCCATCTGCATGATTTATTGGTTTTCTCTTTTCTTTCTTTTCTTCTGCCAAAATCTGGATGACAAAAGTCTTCCAACTCGCCCCCCCTTCTCTTGAAGATCAATTTTGTGTGCAGATAATTAATTTTACTTGTTGCTTCTGTTGTTTTGTTTATTTATTTTGGACGTTTAAAATGTTTTCCAGCGTTAAATGGTCATTCGTTGATCTTTGAATATGTGCTCCTGCATCATTATGTTTTTAAACTGCTTGAAATTGATCTCAAAATCATTATTAAAATTTGTCACAATAACTTTTGGGGCAATTAAATGTTTATTTGTCTTTTTTTAAATATGTCTGGACTGCTTTTGTACATCCGTTGTTCAAAATCAACAACGCTTGGAACAGTGGTGTCCAAATGTTTGCCAAGTGACTCCAAAATGGTGAAATTGCAAGAACTTTAGGGCCCCAAAGGGTCAACTTTTAAATACAAATTCAAAATCACATTTTACTATGATTTCTTATTCTCTCTACTAAACCAAACATTGTATATTTTGATAAAAGAAACAAGAAATAGATGATAAAAAAAACCCATCTAGAACACATGTTAGATCTGAAACTTGTTAACATGTGTATATTTGTGTTAAAACCCCAAAAAAGGAGCAATTAAATTCTTTCTGACCAGCATATGAACTGCAAGTCGTGGACTGGGAAATTCTAGACTTTCTACACATCCTTTGAAACACAGCCTCAGATTAGTGACATATTTTCAAAAGATGAATTGCTAAAAACCCATTCTGTTCTCCTGGACAAGGCATCGTGCGCCATCTCCTCGCGTCAGGCCCTAAAAGTCGGGAAAGTGAACTGAAACAGTTCACTTTCCCGGTTCACTTTCCCAGTTCCAAATCTGACTCCCGGGACGAAACAGCAAAAAGGTTTTATGCTGCCGAGACAGAGGTGACCGCAGGTCGACGCCGCCGGAGAGGAGGATCGCTGCTCTCAACGATTCCCCAGGCTGTGAAAAACTTGAAATGTAATTCTTTTCTGTTCCCGGATGTGCCGCAGTTTTCTCCCAGCGCTGTGGGAGGAGGGGGACTCATGACTCCAAACGAGAGGGCTGTGCACAAAGTGCAAGTGATACTAGTAATTACGACACCAGTTCCACAATGGAGTTTTAAAAACACAAGCAAATGAATGCCGGCAAACATTCGGATTATGCATATCGCGCTGATGTTTGTCTAAAGCACGGAGCGCAGCTGTGTGGGCAGAAATCGCTTCCACAGAAATAGATCCAAGACCAAAAGGTCAAACCTGATGCAACTTGGTTGAGCAGCGTGGGCGGCTTACACAGCTTTTAACACCTAAAATACAAGTTTAAAAAAAAAAAATCACAAAAATGGACTAAATTCAACTCATGTTTCTCTTTGTGAATGTGAAGGAGATGCGATAAGTGTGTCGTTCTAAACTCCTCCTCCTCGTTTCACCTCCGGCGCCGTCCACTTCCGCTTCCGCCAGAGGCCTGTCCTTCCCTTCCTGTTGTGGTGACGACCCGGCGGGTTTCGGGCCGAAGCTACCGCGGGCGCACAAGGTGAACTGTGACCTTCCTGCCACAGGAAGGTCTCCAAAATGGTGAAATTGCAAGAACCTAAAATAAACGACTGAGCTCGACGCGGCCCGTCCCGCGTTCGACTCCCGCTCTCGGTTCATTTGCTCCTTCCCGTCGGACTGCTTTCAAATAAAAAACAAAAATCTTAAAAAAAACAAACAAACAAGAACAAAAATGTGTTGTCAACATTTGGGTTTTAGCAATTGTTTGGCTGACCCAGTTCCTTCCAAAAGAAGATCTGAACAGTGAGAACACTCAGAAAGCGAGAGAGAGACAGACAGAGATGTTTGTGTGTGGGCTCAGACCTTCTGTTGCCAGGGGAACCAACTACAGGAAGGATGCTGACATCTCGGCGAATGCTGTGCTTTCAAACTCGTTTGTGTTTTTGAGATAACCTTCAAATCCTAATCCCGGAAAGGCTCCTCTCGTTATAACTATAACGGGATCATCCGGCGCGCGCGGCATCCGGTCCGATTGAGCGGTCGCGTGGAATTGAGAGCGGCGGTCCAATTTCACTTGCATCACCTGGCTCCATCTACCGTGCGCGCACGCACACACACATCCAGGGAGGCAGCAAGACACACACTCCATCTCCCCCACACTCCAACCTGAATCCTAATGCACCTTCAAACACGTTGTGATGGGAGCTGCAGACACCATCTCTCTCCTGCTTCCTCCATTACTTTTTTTCCCCCTCCTCTCCATCTCTGTCTGAGAGCTTCTCTGGACTCCAGACGGAAGAAGCAGACACACAGATATGTACGGCTGAATACCTACATAAAAAAAATAATAAAATAAAATTAAAAAGTCTGTCTCTGCTCGCTTTAGACGTCGCAGCTCCAACCAGCTCTTCTTTTTTTTTTGTTTTTGAAGAAGCAAACTCTCACTTTTGTTTCCAAGTCTGCACAGGAAGACGTTTGCCTTGTTGGAGGGGACCAGGTGTGAGAGTGTTGTTCAATCTGCCCTCAAAATCAAAGCGGGGTCGTGACGAACGGCTTATTGCAGACATAGCTGAGCTGCGTATGTTTTAGTTTTTTTCATATATATATTTTTTTTGTGTGCGTTTGTCCACATTCGGTCAGAGGGGTCAGGACAGACCGGCGGATGTGGTCCGTGCCTTTCCTTCCTGTTCCTCTCTTTTCTCCCCTCTCTGTCTGTGATTAGCTCTGTGTGCTCCATCACACTTGCTTCTCTCTGAGGAGTCGCAATCAATTCAACCCACTGAGAGCGGGACTCCTTTCACCCAGACTCCTGCTCTCCTGTGTGGCTTTTGCTGTGGTCGGTTTTCCGTTTCCTTCGTCCGCCTCTCCGATTCTTCTTCAAACGAAAGCCTCAGAAAAAAAAATGAATTAAGTCGAGAAAACGTGACTCCCTGTCAATTTTATTCCGTTTGAGGATTTGTGACGAGAAGAAAAACTTTTTATTTATTGCACCAACTTCATCTTATGTGTTGCTGGGAGTCCAAGATAATGGAAAACATAATAGTGAGGTGAAAATACAAAATATTAAACTGATTATGCCGTGAGGCAAAGAGAAGCTAGGAGGAGCTACAACATGGAAGAAAACCTGGTAGAGATTTACAGATCTGGTTCTTATTATACTTCATAATAGCTTCATGTTAGGCTACATGTTACCTGTAATAAGCTGCAAGTAAGATGCAGCTTCATATTAAATTGTGACTAACATGTAGCTTCATACTGGCCTCATAATAAACTGTCACTAACCTGTTAGCTCCATCACAAGCTTTAGATTTATGTAGCTTAATGTTACCTGTAGCTTAATAATCTGTAGCTAACAGGCAGCTTCTTGTTTGGCTACATGTTAGCTGTAATAAACTGTAACAAAGCTGTAGCTAACATGTAGCTTCACGTTAGCTCCATCATAAAGTGTAGATGACATGTAGCTTAATGTTAGCTGTCGCTTAAAAATAAGCTGAAGCTAACATGAACTTTAGTCTCTCCAAGACTGGAGGATACTTCAGGAGGCAAATATCAAAATGAAAAGCACTTTCTGCTTTTTTTTCACATTAATTCAGTTAATGTGAATTTAAGGTATAAATTAATTTGTCTGTAATTTATACATTAAATTTCATATTTATCTAGATTTGAGAACAAATACTTTACTGTGAATTTAAAAATTGTTTTGAAATGTAAAAAATTATCCAGCTCAGAGAAGAAAACAAGCCAAACTCTATTTAGTGGAACATATAGAGGAGAAGAAGATGATATCAAAACAGGAATAACGAGGTGTTAACTTAGTCGTTAGTTAGATTGGTTCAGAAATTCAATTTGAAAAGGTTTGAATGTGTTTTACGTGTCTTGCCGCATCAATGCCTACTTGCATTTCTGGTCCAAAAACAACAAGCAGACGTTAGCAGCTTTTGCATGCTAAATTGAATGTTAAATGTTGAGGTTAACACATAATTGATTCTGAATATTAACAGACCTGAAGATAATTACAACATTTTCACACGTTAATTTCACGCCTCGGCATGAGCAGCATGTTTGGGTTCCTGACCTGCAGCGGGGGTCAGAGCTGCACACACACGCGTACTAATGTCACCAATTTAATGAGAAAATCTTGATTTCTGCTGTTAAGAGACCAGAGATTTGACTTGGACTTGACTCTTAATGACTTGGTATTGCATTAAAAAAAAACAATCTCTGACTGTACACTGCATTTTCAGTAATTATATTATAATTAAGTTTAAACTTGGAAAATCTCAAAAGCTCATCATTTTTTAAATTAGACCTGAAGAAGAAAAAAGTACAATAATATAATAAAATAATCAAATGGGTAACTTCACATTGACTAATTTTTGCAGTTTGAAAGCTCATTTAATAACGGATAACTCTTTAACGCTCCGCCAGAATTTAGCTGTGAAACACGGTGGCGGTCGTATCATGACACGAATGAAATGGATGAATTCTAATAGAAATCTTCTGACGATTCAAACCATAATACATTTCTATTTTTTTTTTTTTTTTTTTTTACTATTATTTATAAGACTGAGACATGCAAGCATTTTAGAAAGTCTGCCAACATCCTGAAGCCTTTAATGGTCCGTAGAGACAGATATGAATTAAAAAAATGTTCCCAAGCTGATCTCCGGGACAGATAAATGGTTCCTGGAAACATAAACCTGCTGCATCGGGAGGTCAAAGGGTCGCTGACGTGCCTTCACCACTCAGGTATTCGATCAGAGTTTTTTTTTTCCACCCGTAAATAAATAAAAGGGCAGCTTTCATCTCCCGGTCTATATTTAGAAATATCAGAGCGGTAGAGAAACTTTCAGGCGTGTATAAATGTGTAAGTAGGAGAGTCATAGGAGCAGAATAGAGTGATTAATAATGCAGAATGATTTTGCTCTCACAGGTGGCTGACGAACTCTCTAGTGTGGAGGAGGAGGAGGAGCAGAGCTGACGAAGTGAAAAAAAAAAGAGGACAAAAGAAAAGTGGCGTGAGGAAATTTGGGCATGTTGGGGGTGATTTACAAGGAGAAACAGAGGCGGGCGGAGACGTTTGCGGCTTTAAAAATGGGGTTTGATGAATTGCGGGAGACAGGGCGCCAGATGAGGACAAAATGGGATTCCTGAGAGCGAGGAGAGCAACGGAGTCTGGCAGCCAAAACTAATGTGTCTGTCAGCTGATCTACTCACCTCCAGCTCTCATCAGGCCTCATTAACGCAGAATTAATTCTGCGCCGAGTCGAGCACAGCCGCAAACACACACACGCACACACACACACGCACACACACACACGCACACGCACACATGCAGCTGGCATGAATATGCAGCAGCACGCAGGAAAGCGGGGAATGGATGTGCAAAAAAACAATTAGACGGATTACACACTAGAGAATTGCTATAGTTGAAAAATGATAATTTGCTACATGTTTATTATCTTAGTTTCAAGGATGAATAAATTTTGAAGTCCATAGATTTAGTTCCTCAGGGTTCACTGTTAGGATTGTTCAGATCTTTGCTGCGGCCGGGTTGAGTTTGACTCCCACACTGGGGGATTTGCTCGATTTTCTTTTCTTCTCTCCATCCTCCTGTCTGACACCTAAAAAAGTGGCGGAAGAAAAGCTGGTAGAAATGAACCACAGTTTACTTTATACCCGGTAAGTTGGGGTGAACCGATAAATAATTTTGGGTGTCGGACGACACTTAAACGTTACAACTGGACAGTAGTCACAAACTGTTGCCAACATAGCACCTTTGTCATTATATCAAACAACTTTTAAGTAAAACAAAGCTTTAAAAATCAATATTGTCCAAAATCGGAATTGGCCAGGAAAATGATAGGTGATCGGCCAGAAAACTGCAACCGGTTCACCCGTATCATTACGTTTAATTGACCGAGCTACTCAGCTTCATGAAAGTTTAAAGGAACAACGTTTGCTTGGACTTTTTTCAGCCCTTTAATCGCCATTTTGATGTTTAACTGTGGAACTTTTTTTAACTGAGTTCTATAACTTTGCATTTGTATATTTTTTGTGTTTTTATGATGTAAAATAGTCTGAAAAGCCTTGTTGCTGAAATGTGCTAGGCAAACTTGATCGACCGATTGAATTTACTTGCTTTTTCTTTTTTCAGGCGGCCACAATAACTGCAAACTGGAATAAAAATTATAATTAGTTTCCGATATTTAATTTATTTTTTTTTTACATACAGAAATATAGAACTCTGCAATTTAGCGCAACTGGATGCCGCTCACGCATTCACGTACCTGTGAATGCGTGAGCGGCAATTTTCTCGTGAATTGATAAGTGTCCTCTCAAAACAGAAACTCCCACCCGAGTTGTGAATCTCTGCAGCTCCACCAAAGGAGTTATACTTTTCTTGCCCAACCTGTCGGTTTAAATCTCTTGGTAGGTTTTCAGTTGCTTTGATTTTGCTGATTGTTTTTAAGCTTGTTTCTGTCTGTCAGCTGTTTCTCATGTAAATGTTCCTATTGGTTTTAATGTAACTGTGTTCTGACTTGTGAATGGTGAGGTATTTTGTGTTTTTTCTACACAAAATAGAAAAAACAACAGCTAGTTTAGCTTTTCGTGCTAACTCCTCTGCATTTAATTGTGCTAATTAGCACAATTGAGGGGAGATTAATGTGCACAGTCCTCATCAAATAAACTAAATCAAATGTGCTGGATTTACTCTATGAAACTTTTAGAGCCTACCATGTTGTTGAATAGCCAAACTCTGCATCCAACTTATGTTAAACTTTACTTCATAAAGCGGTACATTTTGTAGAAATAAAAGTCCAAATTACTGCCAACAAAACGTTTCAGATGAACTTTCCCTTCATCAATACAGCACTAGTTGCCTGATCATGACTATCATCGTCGTTATCAGGCTTTAGGGCATGGAAAACCTGACAAGTGAGACACTTATCATAACAGAAGCACAGGTCACGTTAATAACGTTTTGCGGTAATAAACAAGAAGTCAAAATAAATCTCTTTTTTCAAAAGAAAAAGGACAGAAAGGGAATCCTTCTCTTTTCAGTCCGGCGAGACAAACGACTCTGCTGACTGCACAGGCCTACAGGGAGAGTTAATGGAGGTGATTTATTGCCAACAACAGTTTTCCTCATCAGCGCTCGTCCTGCTCCGACCCGTCGACGTGTCTGCTGTGGCGGAGGTCAACGGCAGGACACGAACGGAGCGGAGCGCGATGCACTCGCAGGGCGCTGGGGCCTGAGACCTTCCTTTGCAGCTCATTTTGAGGAAATTGTAGAGTGAACCTTTTGGGGGAAATGACTTTGTGACTTATGCAAAAGCGGTTAGCTGAAGCAAACGTCCGCACCGTGCAGAATCCAACAAGAGAGAACTCACGCAAAAAATTCACACCGAGAATGAGCTTCTGTGGGTCTTTTAGAACCAGAATGTCGTCTGAAATCTAAAGAAAGTAAAATCAGTTCCACTGCAACTCGAGGTGAAAATCAGTAGGAAAAGAAATGGACGCCATTTTGGAGGGAGTTTTCTTCTTATTGCTGTAATGTGGCATAAATATGTTTTGAAAGACACATAGAGCAGATGCAATCCCAAACTCGACTTTAATAGAAACGTTTTAAACTAATTGGAACATCTATCTGAGCTCGATGCTCCAATTGGCTCCGATTGATCACTGGAGCCAATTGGGAAGCTTGTGCGATTGAACCGAAACCAGTATTGGGAAGCACCTGCAGACTGCGCTTGTCGTGTTTTGGTGCCACATGAATGAACTGAAACTGAGCCAGATGCTCCGTACCTGGTCCCAGGGACTGAGCCTGCCGCCGGAGAACATGAACAGGTAACCCATGGTGACCAGACAGGCCCACGTCAGCAGGGAGAAGAGGCGCAGCATCCGCTTGAAGACAGACTCGATGCAGACGAGGATGAAGATGGACAGGAAGAGGAAGAGGGCGGCGGACACGGCGATCAGGAACGTCAGGTGATCCTCCGTGTTCTGGCAAAAGAAAAAAGAAAAAGAAATAGGGAAGCAGAAGCGAAACATCACACAGGTTTATGTACAGCGCCTCGCACAATTTCCACAGCCCTTCAGAATGAAAACGCTTTGAATGCGTCTTTCCGCAGAAACGTCTGTGATTGTTCTGTGTGTTTTTCACTGAGAACTTGTCATGCTCGACAGATTGAAATGACCACAGAGTCCAAACACAAAACAGATGAACAGACGGCATCCAGATCGCCAGGCAGACACCGAGAATGTGCTACGGCATCACTTCCACACGTTGGAGTCAGCGTTTAGAGGCTGTGAACACACACGCATACATGCGCACGCACCCACGCCCACACACATACACACATTATAAACGGGTAGGACTGCGACCTTGTGCCGCATGGAAACTGATTCTATTTTATAATTTGTGGAGTTCCTCTGGGTTTTGTTCTTAGATCTCTTCTTTTTCAAGGAGAAGATGAGGTGAACAACAAAACACACAAGTAGAAAACACACCGATGAAAACGCTAAAGGAGTTGAGCATGAAATATCACTGAAAAAAAACCCATAAAGTCTTAACATGAAAAAAATGTTTTGTTATAAGTTAAATAATCTGCCAGTGGAATGATTTCTATTTTTTGAATCAATATTAAGGAATTATTAACTTAAAACAAGCCCCTATATCTCACTGAAAAGTTACTTATAAGTTAGTTTTATCTTATTCCAGGTGAACTATTACATTTGCACTAGAAACTAGACTAAAAATACTTGGTAAGATTTTATGTTTAGATCAAAGCCTGTTTCCTTCATGGGGGAAAAAGTTGAGGAATATAAAGACATCGGTGTTAATCTGGACTGGAGACACAACAGTGAAGAAGGCACAGAGGAGACTGGATTTCTGGAGGAAGTCTGATGTTTCAACGGTTGAAATTAAATTTAAAACTAAGCTCTCAATGGTTTATGATTCCATAAGTAAGCAAGTCCAGCTATAGCATATATAACAAAACAATAAATAAACCACCAAAATAAAAAGGAATGATTTGAAAAACAGTAACAAAGCAAAAAATATTAACAGCAATGGCTCCTGTATGTTGTTTCCCAGCTGAGAAAACACATTTTCTGTGTCTTTGGTTATAGTGTCTTCGGGCTCAAAAATGGTTTCTGTTCTTCCAGCAGGATCTATGATGAAACTTATTCAGAGTCAAACTCTTTGTTACCTGCAAACCTCCCGTCTCTGTCGGGGACGGGTCAAAAAGAAAAGAGCCAATCTCGTCATAACCTGTGAAGCAAACCTCCCTAACCTTGTAAGGCACAGACCTGCTGGCATGTGGGTGGGTTTGTTACATCTTCGGTGCACTAACTCTTTTTCGGAAAATTCAGAAACCACCTCTCGTAAACGTGAAACTATTTGGAATGTTGCTGTTTCCGTCGACCTTTTCTAACGTGATACTTCCAGCTCGTTGGCTTTTGTAAAAACTTGATGGTAAGTTAATAGTTGGCTTGGGTTTTGTTTTCAATCTCGTCACGTAAAAACCTGGATTTTGTTTTTCGTCAGGTTATCGTTGTCTGATGCGAAAGTGTGTTTGATCGTCTGAACGATTTCAGCGTGACAAATTTAAAAAAGCGCAACACAAAAACAGAACAAATCACCTTGTGCTGCCAGTGGGTGTTGCCATTGTTTTCACTCAGCTCCACAATTTTCAGCTGGTTACTAGAAACCCGACGGCGGCTGCAAAAAGTCTCCAAATAAACCCTCCAGCTGGCTCCTCCATAATTCGGAAACCACACACGGCTAATAATAAAGCAGACTTCCAGGTACCAAAAGAAAGTTCTCCCTTGGTTTTTTTTTTAACCATTTTTAAAATATGTAAATTATAGAGCAGATCCAGAAATCAGAAGGCACAGAGCTTCCACGAGCACATCAGTGGCACTCTCACAGGCTTCACTGTGCCCAAACACCCACGGAAACCATTTTAACTTATGATTACGCTGACAGGCCCCCGGGCGCTAAAATTAGAAGGCCGCTGTGTGATTACATGTAATTTTAAAGTAGAATGAAAATCAGCTTTGGTATTGATATGTCTTTGATTCCTTTTTTTCCTGCCCTCGTCAAAAAACAAAAAAAACAATTTTTAAATCCGCGTCGACCCGATTTGGACCTGTCGTCTGACTTCCGGGGTTTTCTCGAGGACAACGCCGACGGCTCCCGTTGAGTCAAAATAAAGACTCCGAGCGCCAGTGTAGCAGCGGAAGACGGCGGCGTGAGTCACAGTCTGGGGAAGGAATCCCTTGGGGTGTCGCTGCTGACGCCACGGCAGCTTTTACTGTGAGCCCAGATTGGATCCTAACAAGAATGTAGGCAACACCAAACGCTCCCCACTCCCAAGGACATTCCCTGTCGCATCGAAGCGGATATTTTTTCGAAAAGCACACACGTTTGCAGCTGTCTCAAAGGGGGGAAGTGGAGGATTTGTCACTGCCACCACTGTTGGAGTGGGGTGGCTGGGGGCGAGGGGGGTAAAGCTTTTCACTCATTTGTGGAAACAAAAACGAAGCATCTGCACTTTGCATATTTTTCTGATTGAGCCCCGTCTAATCCGCTTAACCCCACCCTCGGCGACGGCGTTTAATGCCGTTTCCCTCGACGTGTCTGCCGGCCACATTGTGCTGCATTGTAACCCAGAACAATCATTTTCTCCTTTTAAGTCTGCTTCCATCCAGCTACTATTGAGAATGGAAAACGGAGGACTTTGGGGATGGGGGAGAGGGAAAATAACGGCAGCACCCAGAGACAGAAATTCAGCAGCAACCGGACAAAAATAGACCAAATTGTGTCAGAAGTTGAGGGGAAGGAGACAGTTGTCTCGGGAGGATGTGATGGGACCGCCGCAGCTCATGCACTCGCCTTACTTTCCATGTTGGGTCCCTGTTGAATATTTATTGTGGCTGATGAAGCAGAGCTGGAGGCAGATCTCCTCAATCTGTCTTCCGCTTTGATTATGGGACTCATCAATAATCAACAAGCTTTTCCCCTCAACGTCTCCATTCGAGGCGCGGAGAGGCGTCGACGGATTCTCCCGAAACCGCTCACACTCTAAAGGGGATCAAGCTGGGAAGACTGTGAAAAAGTTACAGACCTCAGCAATATAATGGCTCATATTAAATCTCTCTGACAGAGAATACAGTTTCGTGCAAGGAAAGTTTTATTTTTACACGCCTGTGAATATTCTGCCGACTGTTTTACTGCCTGTGACTGAAACACGTGTAAACCGAATTACCCAAAATTAATTCTGTCCGCTACATATTAGAATACCAATGTTTATTCAAATTCGTAAGTGTGTTTTCTCAGCATTACCCTTCCTTAGTGTTTGGTGGAATTTCCATTCAAGGGTCAGTCATTTCTGTCGTCCTCTGTTGGCTTTTTACAAGAGTTGCAGAAATTCTTCGCTGGAATCAAGTCGGGATTGTCCGCTCAACTTCTCCCAAACACCTTTTCAGCTTCACTCACAGATTTTCTATGGCCTTAGCGATTTCCACTCTGAAGTAACTTTGCTGACCGTCATCCACTTTGTTGCTAATTTCCAATATGTTTGGAGTCATCGTCTGTCTCTGCCCAAAAGCTCTAACTTCAAGGCTTACGTCGGGAGATGTCGTGCCGGTTTCCCCACATGATCTTTACTCGTGATGCCATCTTTCTTTGAGAGATGGTGTCAGTTTCCCCAGCAGCAAGTCAAACCTACAACTTCCCATTTCAGGACGCTGCTCTCAGAACTCCATGTTTCTGCTTTTTTTCCTCCAAACGTCACATAAACATAAGGATAACATAATCTGGTGTTGTTCCTCTCTGGGCCAAAGAATCCTGAAATACAATTATGAATAAAGATAATTAGAAATTTACTGTGCCTTTAAAATAAAAGCATTTGCAGCAGTGACAGACTGGAAGAACCGGTGTGATGAAACTAATGGATGGCCATTTGTCACTTATTAAGTGAACCTTGTTTAAAACTACACTTTGCCAAACTACAAGCAGCAGGTCAATCAACATGGACTGCTGCCTGAGCAGATAGCCTGACTAACTGACCAGCTTATTTGTGTGCCATGCATAAGAGTTAGTAAAAATCAAAAGCTGTTTAAATTGTTTTGTCAATAGTTGGAATAATTGCTTTTCCTCTTAAAGAAACAGCAACTATGGTGTTGATTTTTTCTTAACATTACTGCGAAAAATCTGTGATTCAGCGGTTAAGGTGAGCGCTGCTGTATTCACTCTGACTTTACTCATTAAATAGACCAAGACCTCAATTTCCATGAACGACACAAAGGCTTACCGACTGCAGGTCAGAAATGAACTCTTCATGACGTTTTAACGTCTCCATAAAAACCATAAAATGTTTAATTTTTAGAATATGTGAATCTAAGCTTAAGCTTATGACAAGAAAAAAAAAAGTTTAAAGTGAGCTTCTCTACGCTCGCAGGTTTTAATTTGTGATTTGAAGTTCGGGCCAGCAGAATTCATGAATCGGTGCAGAATAGCAGATCTATTCATTGTTTTTATTTATCTGCGTCAATGCGAGGCTGACCAGCAGCCACAGATCCATCAGCACAGGACCAGACTCTTCAGCGCGTCTATCAAGCTGTCAATGAGCTGAAACAAAATTTTCTCTTTACATTAAACTGGAAAACTGGAAGAACTGGAAAACAGTGTCACACATCATTCAAAGATGGCAGCCGTGCGATCAATCACCCAAGTAAGAGGAACTACTTTAAGATTCGCAGAGCACCATTATCAGACGTTGTGTCGACTTCAATTAGTCTGTCAAATTGAGTTTTAAGATATCATTACGCGAGCATGTTGCCATGTAATTGGCAGGATTGTGTACCCACAGATGGACACGTACACAAGCGTTGCGTTACGCTTTGTGCAATTTCCACAAAAAAAAAAAGCAAAAAAGGGGAACATTCTCCCTGAAGATTGCAGATAAGCTTGTGAAGGAAATGCGAGATTTCCTCTG